GAGACTAGGACGAGCAAAATAAAGAAGCAGAGCTGTTTGCTAAAAGCCTGCTGGATTCTGTGATTCTCAAGGACATTTCAATGTCCTATAATCCACAGAGTCCCCCACCCTTTATCTGAGCACACCCCACCCAGCCCCATTGTATTGTTCTCAGTTTGAAGAGAGCTTCCTGCTATTCTAACTCAGCTGCTTATAAAATAGGAAGCCATGTAAGCCTTTTGAGCCACTGGGATTGTAGATCCCTGGGGTAAAGCTGGAAACATTCAGAAAAACTCTCTAGTTTTGCTTTAGACTTAGACTCCTGAGCCCAGTTTTGAAAGTCAAGAGCTTTAAGTCGCTCTTCACAGAAAATTGGCTTTTTAAAAAGTTGAAAGGCCAGAGAACCTTATGAGCAGTGCAGGTCTTATAAAACAGGGTCATTAAAGCAAACTATATCATAAGTGGCACTTAGAGCTGGAAATATTCTGTATGTACAGAGGGTGTCATAGACGGATCTACTCAGGAGCAACCATTTATGAAATATTCAGTCCTACCCATTTATCGTTTACATCATGAGCTCAAGTGTTCTTAAAGATATAGTCAAACAAAATAATTCTGCTTGCTGTAACTCATAATGAACAGACCACTCAATCTATTTGTGTTCTCTGCATAAGAGGCCCTTTCCACCATGGCCATCAGATATACTGTGCATTTAGTAACACAGACTTTCTATGATGTCTTCCCTCTGCCCTCAGGAAAAGCTTTACATTAAGGGAATAGCAAATATACAGACTGATCCTCAGATTGTAACAGAAGTCTTTTTCCCAGTTATTTGTTTCCATAATAGAGGCCCTCCTTGCTTCTGTTCCTCAATCCTTTTAGTGCCAGATAGTCTTCGGATAAACCCAGACTAAATGTGTAGAGTAATGCAGAACTGCTGCCTCTCATTCATTTTCTATCAAAAGCTGTGAATCCCTTTTGACAGGATCACAAGTCCCCTGGTGGCCCCTAAGCTACACTGTAACAAGTTGACTTTAGAATTTACAGTAAATACCTGGCAAAAAAGTTGCCAATAATGTCCTGTAAAAAATGCTGCAATATACTGTAAAATAAATTACAGTATATATTTTACAGGTTTTTGCTATATATAAATTACAGCAATTTATTGTGTTTAGAATAAAACAACAATCAATTGTAAACTAATTTACAACATTTTCTTGTACAATGTTGCTGTAGAATTCCTTTTACAGTTTTTGTTTTTAACCTAATAAACATTGTATTAGATTATTGTCACCTTTTAAATTAAACTGGAATCAGAGCTGCAACACAACATTTATTAAAATTCAACACCGTTTTTCGACTATGTCAGTTGCTTGTACTCACAGCCACACAAGCTAATTGCATGCAGGTAACAAGCTTTATATATTTACAGGGTTTTTCCTGCATAGAGAAATTTTTGGCACCTCCCAAAGGAAGTTTTAGTGAGCATCAAAGGAAAATCACCAGCGCCAAAATGATCAGAACTGAAGAAGCGTTTCAAATATTCTCCTAATGTGTTTTAATAACCAGTAATCAAACAGCTTTTTGAGCAAGCAGAACATAAACTTAAATATGACGTCTTGACTTCCAGCAGTCACCTCTTCTCTCATCCACAGCGCTGGGTTTATTTGTTTTGTTGTTGTTTTTTACACATGTAGCTGGCGCTGGATTTATAAATCAGCTGCTGCGTTAGTTTGACGGCGCCTGAACGCTCCGCTACGAAGCTCGCGCTACTGGGAGCGATGACTTCCTGTTATTTCTCACAATATAAAAGCAGTTTATGCTTAAAGTGTACTGTCACTTTTACATTTTGCTCTTTGGCGTACCTTCCCCGGTCCTCTTCTCTGCCCTCTCCATTTCAGGTTTTCTGGGCACTACGTGGCGCTCACCTGTTCCCGTTCTCTCCTGCCTGCTAAACTCCGCAGGGAGATTGGGAGCCTTTCATGCAGCCATGTGCACTAGTTGCTCATCAAAGTCACTTTTTGTGAACCGACCAAGCTTGGAGTAGGCGGGACATTAAAAAAGGCTGATTCACTACATCAAACTTTAGAAATGTTGAACTTGTTCTGTATGCACGGTTTTTATTATTGACAAGTTAGTACTTTGCATAAACAAATGAGAGACTAACCACCTTGTAGAGCATTTGTCTTGCACAATAACTTAATGACTGAAAACAATCCCCAAAATGTAACTGCTTTGTCCAACTGGAATTAATGTAAATGCTCCGTACTTGTATAGCGCCTTTCTAGTCTTTTCGACCACTCAAAGCGCTTTTACACTACATCTGCATTCACCAGTCACACACAATGCATACACTGGCGGAACAGCCGCCAGGGGCAAATCGGGGTTCAGTATCTTGCCCAAGGACACTTCGACACGCAACCAGGGGGGCCAGGGATTGAACCACAGCCACAGGCTACTAATAGTAAGCTATAATAGAATGTACTATTATCTGAAATTATAATGAATATATAAACATTAGCACTAATCAAACCTTAACCACGGTGGTGTAGGCTAATATCAGAGAAAGGTTTTGTATGCGGCAAGTGAGCTTATTATTTTTCTCATGGTTTTACTATGTGAGATGTATATTTTGAGTTAGAAATTAAGAATATACTAAAATAGAGAAATATTTAAAAGTTAATTAATCATAATGGATAAATATGTTTTACATTGCATTTGACTTAGTTATTTAAGTTTACTATTGTAGTTTGGTGTAGAGCAGGCTGTTACATTGATGCTTGTTCTGGTAATTGAGTACCGTTACTTTAAGGGAGGCTCTCTCAGCTTTCCTTGTTAGCTGTTATACCAGAGAAAGAGGAAGAGACTAGCTGTGGAGTCACATGGTTTTTATACAGTGTTCTGAGTTGTAACTGATATTATCCAGCAAAGAAACATTGTGGACATATGTAGAATAAAGTCTGTCTCACATCTGAAGTCAATTGGATGATTACAGAAATGTATGGGTTGGGACACGTGTATGCCAGGACGATTTTGCGTCACAGGTTTTATTTGTGAAAAAAGCTGAATCTCAACTAAAAAATCTGTTGGCAGATTATCCCAGTCAAGTGTAACCTGTAAATATATTATTATACTAACATTATACTTTACTTTTATACTTTACTCCTCCATGTTGTGGATATATTTTGTATATGAAATGGTCAGAATTGGTCATGAGGTAGGCCTAACTCAATGCCTTTACTGTAGGCATTAGGGGTGGGAGAAATAATCGATTCTTAGATGCATCGCGATGCGGACGTGGAAGATTATGAATCGATTAACAAATGTCTAAAAATCGATTATTTAAATGTTAATTGATGCAATGTCGCAATGTTGACAGAAGGCAAAAGGCGGAAATGCAGCGCCCGGATCGTCTGTGGAGCGCGCACAACAGAGAGACCAGTGTTCCCCTGTATTCGCCACCGCTGCAGAATGAATAACCACCCCACTAAAATGTCAGGAAAAACATTAGCAGTAAGTTTCAGTCTGGTCGTAAATGTGCAGCGTAGGTCGCTGTGTGTCCGTTAATAAAAGTGTGTAATTTCCACAACGGCTGGAAAAGTGAAGGCTGTTAGCGCTAGCTAACATCTCCTCTGCTCTCTGTCCCCCACACCAGACACCACACTTTTGGGGACATAGCCGTCAGCGTCACAGCCCCCATCCTGTTTAACTCATCCCCCCAGAGATCCGAAATGCTCCCTGTCTGGACACTTTCAAAGATCTACTAAAACCCCAGCTCTTTACCCAGGCATTCAATCCTGAATGACTTTATGTTGTTCTGTAACTATGTGTAAAGCGTCCTTGGGTCCCATTTAAAGGCGCTAAAATATTTATTTATTTATGTAACGTTCGCTAAATTAGTAACAAAGTAATATTAATTATTAGCTGTATGTCATTCCTAACTAAATTACTAGTCAAGGGCTGAACACATCAGGCACAAGCTTAGACTAAACTGGTGTACAGCTCTGTCCTGTATACATACTGTACTGAACACCCTGATAATTATTTTTCAGTTTTCAGGAGTCTGACAAGTGGTTGTTAAAGAAATGAGGGACCATGGAGCTGAGGTTAATAAAGTAAATTAGGGATGCAAACTAGTGCTTTTAAGCTAATTAGGAGATGTTTCTTTTGGATTTTAATGCACAAGTTAAATGCTTAGTAATTATCCAGGGATCCTCTATAGAAAAAATGATGCATCAATAATCGTTTTATAATCGAATTGCAGCCCTCTGAATCATAATCGAATCGAATCGTGAGGTACCCAGAGATTCCCACCCCTAGTACGCATACTCATCATACTTTCTGTTGCGCGAAGTCACCACCCAACAGCCCATTCTGAGCCAGGAAAAACCCTGTATATAGTCTATAGTAACAATCTAAATGAAAAAAGAGTGCAGCCAAAACAGTCCCTTCACTCCTGGTTTCAAAACCACCACAAGAATGACAACTACCAACAGAAACCACTATATTCTAAGCAGACACGTTTAAAAAAACATAAATCATAAAGTAACATTTGTAATTCAAACAAATAAAATTCAATTTGTCAAAATGTCAATTTTTAACAAAACTCCCTTCACCACCGTGCATCACGGGAATTAGGAGGAACGGACGTAGGCTACTATATATTACTCCAGACTCACACAGGGGGCGTGTGCGCAGTGGTTTGGTCCTGTGCGCAACTTCCACTTAAAGCCTAAAGCCTCGATTATACTTTCCACGTCCGCAAGTGCACAAGGGTCCGCGTGACGAAAAAATCATCATCAGAGGGGGTATGCGTAGGGGCGACTAGCGCTACCAGGGCAAAAACCGATTTACTGCGAATGTGTGGAACATGTCCGCAAAGCTTAATGCTTAAGGTAGTATAAACAGAAGTAGTCTGAAAAACCTCAAGGTGTAAAACTATACCTATAAAACCACCCAGAACCGAACATATGCACACAAAAAACATTTTCTGCTTATTAGGGTTTGTACTTATATATTACCTTTGTCTTGGACCACATCTTTTGAAGTAAAAGTCTCATTACCGACATTTATGAGTTGTCTCTGTGTTTCTCCTGCATTACTGATACAGATGGTGTTGTCGTGGTTTGCCTCCAGCTTCAGAGTGCTGATAAAACAGAGAAAACAAAACATCTTTTTTGTTGTAAATCTGGGAAGCATTACCACCCACGCAAAACACACACATAAGATGGGCATAGAGAATACAATAGGGGGTATATGGGCTTCAACAACAATTCTCCCTGCAGACTGGCCGATATTTTCCAGTTTATTTTTGGAGATGGCAACAATTTCTCCATCTTTATTTTCAAGCAAACATGTTCTCATTTTCAATCTCAGCTCTGACGAAATAACTCATGCAGGAAAAAATGAAGAAGAGAATGAAGTCGACTAAGATGGAAAAAAGAAGAAAAACAACTTGATTGTATCTGAAGGCTGAATTTGCTTTAATATATAGCTGTTTATGAAGGCATCAGATTTAGAACACTAGTCATCAAAATAATGTGAACTAACACAGCATGATGATTGATTGATTGATTTTCCACTTAAACGACCACACCTGCCAGGGAGGCTGAGGGAAATATTTGAGCAGCCTGCCACTCTGACAACAACAGGCATCAAACACAAAGACTGTTGTCAAGCACTGACAGTGAAGACTGTTTCCCACTGCTTCTGATTAAGAGGCCAAAAGCAAAAGATAAATCATCTGAGTGCTGCTCTAGATCCACAGCTTCTTAAAGGCCACCCTCACCCATCTGTTAAAGAAAGACCCCCCTGCCCCCTTCACACAAATACCTCTTTTAGACAGCTTGTTCAAGATGAGAAATGTTGCACCGTTACGAACGTACAAACACAGAATGGGGGTGGGGGTGGGAGCATTGTTTTTCCGCTGTTAAGTAAGTTAGTAATAGAGCCGAATCAATTTCTGTGTAAAAAAGGGGGAGCCGGCAGGACGGGACGCTGCACTTTTGTGTTACATATCACGCCTCTTGCCAGCATGCTTTCTAAAAATCACACACTGGGGCAGCATTTTGTTGGTGCTGTTTGGTTCAGGGTAAAAAAGCAAAGCCAGCATAATGACAGGTCTTCTTCACTGCAGTATTGGGGGAACTCTGTTTTAAAAATGGACTATACACTCACTTAATGCCCTTCCCCCATTGCCTGCAGAGCTTCACAGGGCCACAGATATAAAAAGGCCACATGAACTGTAAACAAACCCACTTCTTCCCTTCATATCGATCAAAATAAGACAGACAGTCATAAGCACCAGTAATGAGCCTCTATTGCGATGACTATCTATTGAGATAAGTAAACCATTAACCCTGAGTAAAAGGCATTTCTGTTTAGTTTTTAAGAACAAAACCAGAGAGGCATGGACTAACTCAGTCTGTCTCCTTTGTCACGAATACATCCATGCTGTGAGGAGCGTGCCTAAGATAATGAGAAATGAAATAAAGAGGAGTTGTAAGGAAACTATGCATCATTTACTGCCTCCTGTTGACTGCAGGGCTCAGCAGCTGCCACACCAGTTTGTCTACTGCAGGTTCTGGAGGAGACAATGGTGGGCAAACCTGCCAACATACAACATGCAGTTTACATCTGTCTGATGTGTAAATATCAAAGTCTAGAGGTAGGAAAACTAACTAGAAAAACGTTTCTTCTTCATTTACAAATAAATTGTTCTTAGAACACTGTAACTTGCATTTACTGTCACTCTGTGTAGTACTGATTTTGTAGTACTGAGAAATTTCATGCCTACAACTACAACTAACAACTATGTCCATTATTGAACAATCTGCCAATTTGTTTCTAAATAAATTGTTTGGTCTGTAAAATCTCACAAAGCTCAAGATGTCTTAAAATCAAGACCCAAGCAGATTACACAATGCACTGTGCACATTACACAATGAACAGCAGCAAATCCTCACAATTGAGAAGCTGAAACTAGAGACTATTGCTTGAAAAATAAATTTATCAATAACAGATTATCTGACTTGATTAATCAGTTAACTGAATAATTGTTTTAGCACTAATTACATTAAAAACACAAACAAACCTTTGTTGGAAGGTTAAAGGTTAAAGTAGTTTTTTATCTTAAATTTGTTGATTTGTAAGAGCAAACAACAGCGCTAAGCATTTTTATTAAATTTTTGTTAATCATGTGTTTCTATTGGTTATACTGACTCCTAACAGCCACCCCTGCAATGTCAAGGAGGTTAATAGTTCAATTACAGCTTAGCAGATTTACTCTCAGGGGAATCGGCTGTTATCAGCTGATTAGCTCTGCTGCTGCTCAATACAGCTACTGGATGACACTCACCTGCGTGTTAACTAGCACCACTTGTAAAGCTTGCTGGACGATGATGAACAATAAGAGCAACATGGGGGAGCACAGACCAGCAGAGGAGACTCAGTAAAGTTTCCTTTAAAGATAAAGAAGATTGGAGCACTCTACTTACATGAGAGGAAAGATAACTACCCATAGGCAAGGTGGATGAAACGGTGAATGTTTGTGCATGCTGCTGAGCAGCAAAATTATTATGAGAATCTATATTTCTGTTCTCCATCCAAACTGATGTTGTTGAATAAATATATAGATTTTAAAAGTGAGAGTCGGCCCAGTCTACTCTTCCATTCCTGTGCTGAGTAAAACCAGAAAGCTGCACAGATACACCTAATGATGCATCACCGTGACTGACAGAATTGCTCAAACGTTAACCAGCTTTTGCCGGCTCTACGCTGAGGTACCCTGCTTTTATGCTGGATTGTGGATTCAGTTGAAGAGGGGACAATTATCTCTGCTGGTGGAATGGATCTGCTCCAGCAAAGTGGAACTCGCAGGGAAAAGTGGATGTATGGCATTAAAGTTAGAGTAGAAACTTTGTTGTCCACAATGTGGAAAATTGTCTTTGGCCTCACCGAAATCAACATGGATTAGAAATAAGACAATAGTAAAACAAAAAACAGTACAATTAGGAGGGCTTGGAGTTCAACCACAAGTAATCAAATACAGTTCAAAAAGTGCAAATTCTGTAAACACAAGACAAATGTACACATTCAGCGAGGAGTGAGGTAAGGCACTATGTTTTTAATAATTTAACTACACTTGGGACAAGTGAGTTCGGTAACACTTTCTATGAAGGTCATCACTATAATGACTTATACATATATTTATAACACGATATAATGCGTCCATAAGATATTATAACAGTTGTTATAATCATTTATAAACATGCATTAGGCGCTATAGCAAAGTTCATAACATATTATGACCTTTTGATTTAATGTTTTATAACGAATAGTAATACCAGTTTATATCAATGTGCGGCAAGAATCTCCGACCATGTTCCATAACACATTATAACCACCGACTCTGCCTCGTTATGAATACACTTTAGTCACCATTTAGAATTAGTGATATAAAATGGAATAATGGCTTATAGTAATGTTTAAAGTTATACAGCATGTCTTTGTTTGCTTTAACTAAAGTGATAAAATACACTGCTCAAAAAAATAAAAGGGAACACTTAAACAACACAATGTAACTCCAAGTCAATCACACTCCTGTGAAATTAAACTGTCCACTTAGGAAGCAACACTGATTGACAATCAATTTCACATGCTGTTGTGCAAATGGAATAGACAACAGGTGGAAATTATAGGCAATTAGCAAGACACCCCCAATAAAGGAGTGGTTCTGCAGGTGGTGACCACAGACCACTTCTCAGTTCCTATGCTTCCTGGCTGATGTCACCTTTGAATGCTGGCGGTGCTTTCACTCTAGTGGTAGCATGAGACGGAGTCTACAACCCACACAAGTGGCTCAGGTAGTGCAGCTCATCCAGGATGGCACATCAATGCGAGCTGTGGCAAGAAGGTTTGCTGTGTCTGTCAGCGTAGTGTCCAGAGCATGGAAGCACTACCAGGAGATAGGCCAGTACATCAGGAGACGTGGAGGAGGCCGTAAGAGGGCAACAACCCAGCAGCAGGACCGCTACCTCCGCCTTTGTGCAAGGAGGAGCAGGAGGAGCACTGCCAGAGCCCTGCAAAATGACCTCCAGCAGGCCACAAATGTGCATGTGTTTGCTCAAATGGTCAGAAACAGACTCCATGAGGGACCGACGTCCAAAGGTGGGGGTTGTGCTTATAGTTTAACACCGTGCAGGACGTTTGGCATTTGCCAGAGAACACCAAGATTGGCAAATTCGCCACTGGCGCCCTGTGCTCTTCACAGATGAAAGCAGGTTCACACTGAGCACATGTGATAGACGTGACGCCGTGGAGAACATCCTCCAGCATGACCGGTTTGGCGGTGGGTCAGTAATGGTGTGGGGTGGCATTTCTTTGGGGGGGCGCACAGCCCTCCATGTGCTCGCCAGAGGTAGCCTGACTGCCATTAGGTACCGAGATGAGATCCTCAGACCCCTTGTGAGACCATATGCTGGTGCGGTTGGCCCTGGGTTCCTCCTAATGCAAGACAATGCTAGACCTCATGTGGCTGGAGTGTGTCAGCAGTTCCTGCAAGAGGAAGGCATTGATGATATGGACCGGCCCGCCCGTTCCCCAGACCTGAATCCAATTGAGCACATCTGAGACATCATGTCTCGCTCCATCCACCAATGCCACGTTGCACCAGACTGTCCAGGAGTTGGCGGATGCTTTAGTCCAGGTCTGGGTGGAGATCCCTCAGGAGACCATCCGCCACCTCATCAGGAGCATGCCCAGGCGTTGTAGGGAGGTCATACAGGCACGTGGAGGCCACACACACTACTGAGCCTCATTTTGACTTGTTTTAAGGACATACATCAAAGTTGGATCGGCCTGTAGTGTGGTTTTCCACTTTGATTTTGAGTGTGACTCCAAATCCAGACCTCCATGGGTTGATAAATTTGATTTCCATTGATAATTTTTGTGTGATTTTGTTGTCAGCACATTCAACTATGTAAAGAAAGGAGTATTTAATGAGATTATTTCATTCATTCAGATCTAGGATGTGTTATTAATAATAATAATAATAATAATAATAACTGCTTGTTTGTTTGCATTGTTGTTTCTTGTGTTTGGTGAGCCTAAGACAATTTTTCATCCCTTGTGTAGTTGGAGCTTTCAAAAAATGTCACAGGATCTTTATAAATTGATGACCGTCTTCCAGGAGAGCTGCTAAATGGACTTTAGGGTGAGACAGCTATTCTTTCCAATATCAATAATAAACTTTAAACCTACCAAGATGTCTCATAAAATGCTCAGGAAAGTATGGAAATTTTAATATTTGACAATATATGACAACTGCACAAATTCCATCTGCTGTTGAGGATAATCAAGATCAAAAGCTAAATTGACCTTCAACTGGTGTGTTATTTTAGTGTTCCCCTTATTTTTTTGAGCAGTGTATCTATCCCTGTATGTGACGGACCACCGTCACTACGGTTGAGTATGCGCTGTGACTGCCATACCAACGAGCCTGGCTCTTTGGCGTTGCGGTCAAGTTGCATGTTTGGTACCCTGTAGACCCAGGTTTGAATCTGGGTGGGGTGACTGCTCTTGCCTTTCCGTCACACTGTATAATATATTACAGGTGGACATAATACCATATGAGCTAATTATAAGAACTTATAATACGTAATTGTTTGCTTTAAGTAAAGTGACACACATTTTGTGCAGGAAAACAACTTTTATTTATGTTTCTTCACCTTATGAACAATCTGTATGAATTTTGAACATTTTGCAGTTTAGCACAAAAACACAACATAATTACATCAAGGTCACCCATTCTCAGGGTGGTGAAAGATCGCTCAAGAGAAGACCTGTTGCAGACCAACATCATGTAAGAAGAGGCTCAGATGTTATCACAGATGAATGGCGAGCCTATGGACTGACCCTAACTGATGCAGTGGATAATTAAAGACAACCACTTCACAAAACGTAGCCTATTAAAAGACATTTTAAAGTAATTGCGCTAGCGCTAACTGCCTTCCCTTTTCCAGCAGGTGCGGAAACAACAGACTTAACGGACACACTGTGACTTACACTGCACATGTTCTGCCAGACTGACAACTTACGAAGTTACTTACGAATGTGTGTCACTTTACTTAAAGCAAACAATTACATGTTATAAGTTCTTATAATTAGTTCATATGGTATTATGTCCATCTGTAATATATTATACAGGGATAGATATTTTATCACTTTACTTAAAGCAAACAAAGACATGCTGTATAACATTAAACATTACTATAAGCCATTATATATAGTAGTATTAATAACGAGGCAGAGTCGGTGGTTATAATGTGTTATGGAACATGGTCAGAGATTCTTGCCGCACATTGATATAAACTGGTATTACTATTAGTTATAAAACATTAAATCAAAAGGTCATAATACGTTATGAACTTTGCTATAGCGCCTAATGCATGTTTGTAAGTGATTATAACAATTGTTATAATGTCTTATGGACACATTATATTGTGTTATAAATATATGCATAAGTCATTATAGCGATGACCTTCATAGAAAGTGTTGCTGTGAGTTCTTGTAAGCATCTTTCGTAGTTTGTGACAGTCTAAGCCAAGCTGTGGTGTAACAAAGATGGATTAACTATGACAACCAAGAGGTCGTTGCAATTTCAAGCTCTAGTTTAAAGATGTTCATACCTCTTTAAAGTTGAATTCTGTCAATTCTCCAGCTTGTTCGTGATGGAAAGCAGCTCTCAGCACCTCATCCATCTGGTGACAGGCACATCATGTTAACACCAGGCTGATACCCACTTGCACGCCAATCAAATCACATTCATGTTTAGCTCTGTAAGGTGATTTATTTAGTTAAGGATGAATTTTAAACTGTGCTGGATATGTTCTTCCCTCAAGGTCCATCCATATGCCCTTCAGGTGAAGCTGCCTATCAGGCCCACCCTAAGACCCTTCAAACAATGTGTCGCATCAGCAGCTAGAAATCAATGTTGCCAAGATAAAATAATTAAATTTTGCACAAAACAAGATCTCATAACAGAGGCAATTTCACTTAGGGACCAACAGGTTGAAACTTTGGAAAACTGTCTTCAAACTTTTACTATCTTGGTATACTTCTGGACTCCCAGATGAGCTTCCCTTAAAATACAGAGTATATTTTCAAGAGATGCTCACGGTAACTTTACACTCAGCGGTCTAGGTGTTGGTCACAGATTTTAGAAATATGTGTGCAAAACTATTGTTGAGAGAGTTTCAACGTATCACCTTCTTGCCTGGTACGGTCACCTAAATTGTAGATCTAAGAACAAACTTTGTAGGATTGTGTCAATGGTAAGCAAAATAGTCGCAAACCCCAAAAGGCCTTGACTGAACTCCCAACCTCTCTTCAGCCAGTTCGAGATTTTGAGCTCTGGGAGGCGCTAAAGAGTCCCCCTGCTGACAAAACGTTTATGAAGTCCTTCATACAATCAATATTAATAACTGTTTGTTTGTTTGCATTGTTGTTTCTTGTGTTTGGTGAGCCTAAGACAATTTTTCATCCCTTGTGTAGTTGTAGCTTTCATAAAATGTCACAGGATCTTTATAAATTGATGACTGTCTTCCAGGAGAGCTGCTAAATGGACTTTAGGGTGAGATTGTTTTGTCAGCTATTCTTTCCAATATCAATAATAAACTTTAAACCTACCAAGATGTCTCATAAAATGCTCAGGAAAGTATGGAAATTTTAATATTTGACAATACATGACAACTGCACAAATTCCATCTGCTGTTGAGGATAATCAAGATCGAAAGCTAAATTGACCTTCAACTCAGATTGTCTTTGCTTGTCAACTGCTGTTTCCAAAGGTCAAGAATAAACATTGAAACTCAGTATTGACAGTAACAGGTTTTAACATTTTCCATTTTAAGGAAAAAATATGTTTAATGTTTTTAAGGTAATTTTGACAGCCAATTGTGTGTTTGACCATAACTCCTGTGCCTAAACTGACCTTTTTCCAAACAGACTTTTGACATGTCATGGCAGGAAAAGCACAGGTGTAATTAATTACATTTGGTTTGGTTGGTTGTTCCAGCTCCAGGGTCCTGTTATGGGACATGTTTCCTGCTGGGACAGAATGGAGCCATCATTAGTTAATTAATTATATTAATTACACCTGTGCTTTTCTTGCTTTAAGTCACGGTGGCTGCCATTAAAAAGGTCTATACCTTGAGACAGCTGCAAGACAGACGAAATGGATATACATTTAAAAACCACGTAAACAGAAACATTTAGCATTAGCAGTAGTTAGCTACACCTGTTAACTTCAGTGCACAACAGATTGTCACGTTTGACCTTACCTTCTCTCATATGTGATGAGAACACCGTAATTTGGCGGTTAGCGTGCGCCACCTGGCGTTTGCTGTCCCGACTTGACTTGTGTTCCCAGAACTCCCAGAACTGTAGCTTTTCCAAACATTAAGATCAAGACACGCGAGCGAGAGCGTGCTTTACGCACACAGCTCCACAACCCTTGAGATGCGCGTGCGCCCCAATGTAGCCACGCGCAGATAAAACTGCAGGGCGCGCGAGTGAAAGAAAGCGAAGTTTGATCATTAATCAAGACGGCTTCAGCTCGGTCGTTCACGTAGCTCAGGGACTGCTCTTGTGCGCGTTCACGCTTCAGATTTGGAGATGTCGGAGCTGTCTCCGCGCGGCCGGTGGCGGAGAGGAAAGTGTTTTGTCTACTGAAAGTAATCCAACTAAAAGGAGAAAATGATCAGGTAAGTGACTGAAAATCAATTGTTTGTTTGCTTCATTCAAGCCAACAGTGTTAGTTAATTAGTTAGTTTAGACGTAACTTTAGAAATGCTCAGTAGACTTTAGTAAAATGTATGTATTTTATTATTTATGAAGTGTCGATACTTTCTGCATTATAGTGAAATACAGCGAAATGGAAAAACTTATATGTGCATGTATGTGACGCCGCAATGTGTGTTTATATTGATCTTGAGAGAAAATAATGAATGTAGTAAAATGTAGTTGCAGAAGTTATATTTATTGTCTGTTTTGTTGCCGCGTTGCACATCTATTGAGGCATAGGGAATTCTGAAAAGTTTTCCACGGTCCCCAAATTGAGACACTCTTTTGACGCACTTTTGTGTGTGGGGCACCACACGATATCACACAGGTGTATTATAATTGCATTAAACCAACAAAAGGCCAAACCAAACAAACTTTAAATTTTTTATTTAATTTTCTTATCTTATCGTTTGTTGTGGTTTGCAGTGGTGGAATAAGTATTTAAATCCTTTACTTCAGTAAAGGTAGTAATGCCACAGATATACACAGTAAAATCACTCAGTGTTACTTAAGTAGAAGTACAGAAATATGAGCAAAAAAGCCAGAAGTTTCTAGTTTTACTTCTACTTTATACTGTTGCTTCATCTCACCTAGAGTAAGGATCATGTAAGTCCATCTTTGGGTTTTTGTAATGTAAAATGTGACTTTGCTATCAAACTATAGCTGGAAGATAAATGTAGTGGAGCACATTTTAAAGCTGGTATGTTTTGTATGTAACATTGTGGTCTGAAAAGTTAGTAAAACAGTCAAATAAATGTAGTGGAGTAGAAGTATCTGTACTCAAATCTGTACTTATGTACAAAACTTAAAAAGTAAATGCACTTAGTTGCTTTCTACAACAAAGACTATGAGATTTGTTCTTAATTTGCAGTAAAATCATCTTGGTAAGACTTTGGGGTAAAAGCTGGTCTTCTAAAAAAACTGCTTTTGTTTGTTTTTCAATACAGATTTTTTTTTATAAAGTTGGGTTTGAATGCCAAAAAGCAAAACTGACTTAAAGTAATAAATCTTTACAAAACTGTGGTGTTGCTATAAATCATCACAGGCAGCAGAGACGAATGTGGGAGAATTATTTTGAGTGACGAAAAATCAAGTTTGTTTAGTAGAGGCCTTTTCAAGCTTTTGAAAAGTCTGTGAAAGGAAAAGGAGTCAGAGTCAAGCTTTGTGACAGGAGAGAGTTGAGAGAAAGCCCTGTATGATACAGCGAGTGTAACACAAATTAATCTGATTAAGGAATTACAGCATTCCATGGCAGAATCTCACATAATCATCCAGGCAAAAATGCAGGTTTACAATGTTGTAATGTTGAAAGTTAAGCTGCCCTGTGGTGATTTATGCCTGGAATATCATACGAAACTGTATTTCTGGTTAATAATGTCATTCCTAATTACACATAAATTAAACTGAACCTAGAGAGCTGGGTAGCCAATGACAGCTTTCCTTCAGAGTTTGCACACATTCACACAAGTGATTGGGTGTGGCAGGACGGGTTAATATGTGACTAAACCGAGCATAAGGGCAGGTATACTTTACACTTTCAGAGAGAGTGATATATATGATAAATATGTCACCAAAATCAAACTGCAGATAATCCAAAAATACTTAAGAAGGTAAGAGGTCAAAGTTCATGAGAGTTTTTTGTTCTTTGTTGAGGGCTTAGATGTGTGTTTATTGCTGGAGCTGCTAATCAAAGTGAATCCAAACTGACCGGCTGCTTGTTAAAGTTTAATAGAATGAATATAATGTTTGAATTTGGTCATGCTTGCCCCAGTTTAGCAAAACGTCTCTGTATAGTAAACAATCTGTTCTCATTATGCTCAAACAAAGGGCTAGTGCACTTCAGCTTTTTATGTACTCGGATACGGATCAGTTATATGTGTGTGTTGTAGGTGTGCCACATTTAGAAACAGACAAAACACTGCTGATTGTATTGTCCTCTCCATTGGCTCAGACGTGAATTGTATTCCAACAAAAGAAGTGGAAATCAGAAATATGCAGAAATATCCACAAGTGTGGTGATAATGTCACACTTCCCCAAACTTGATGTCACTAAATCAGACTAAAACAGCCAATTATTCTCTCCTGGACAGATGAGCTCCCATCCATAATCGAGCTCGGACAATCAGCCAATCTTGATTGGACTCTTGTCCTCTCGAACGAGTTGCTGCTTGCAACCGCTGTGGGAGCCGGAGTCGCCATGGAGACAGTGGTGATCGTGGCCATTGGGGTGTTGGCCACCATTTTCCTGGCTTCCTTCGTTGCCCTGGTGGTGGTGTGCAGACACCGCTACTGCCACCCTCACGACCTGCTGCACCACTTCGACTCAAAGTCAGTGAATCAATACAAAGCCTCTAAGTCTGTATCAGACGAAGTTTACATTCTGTTTCAGAACTTCTATCAGAATTTAAGGTCTTAAAATGTGTTTTTCGGTTTTATTGGTGTTAGTTCTCCTGTCACCTGTGCAACAGGTTTCTCTGCATAGCCTATGTACTGTTTGATTAGTGTTAGTATTACAATATTCCAACTATTTATGTACGTTTTGAAACTTGGTTTTTGGGCATTTAATGTTTGTTTTTATTTATATTAATTAACAATAGTGGAAAGATACTAGGAAACAAGGGAGAGAGAGATGCAACAAAGGTCTCCAAAACAGTGATGTTGCAGTACATGGTTGGTTTCTTAACACTAAAGCCACACGATTACTTTTCAACCTCAGTTTACTGATTTTCCACTGCCTTTTCACCCTACTGATGTCCTTTACTCTTTGATTAGTTACTAAATGTTTAATCAGTTCCAGGTAGAAAAATAAAAGGTCACAAATGATCGAAATATTGATTTCCACAACCTGCAGGTATCCAGAATAAGTTAATTTGTAGTGTACATCAAAATTCTTCAGTTAGCTTTCTTTCTCTCATGGTTAACCAGTTTGTGGTACCCAGGAAAAAAATGTGCTATTGGATCTCGATAGATGCCCCCACCTCCTACAGAGTGTGAGTTGTATCCGTACCCTGTTGCCAACAAATTCACTTGAAGTACAACAGGCTATGATACGTCCGTTGTGTGCTCAGAGACACAGCACCCCTTTAAACGATAAGGCAACAAGTTCAACCAACGGCACTAAAAGCTGCTTTGATGGTGCAAATTCCCCCCTAAAAATTTACAATTAATCAATTCACCCCAGCCAGTTTAAATGTAATGAAACTTGGACTTTGTTCTGTTTTTTAAAGACCCACAGTGGATCTGATTGGAGCAATGGAGACCCAGAGTGAGCCATCGGAGCTGGAGCTGGACGATGTGGTCATCACCAACCCTCACATTGAGGCCATCTTGGAGAATGAGGACTGGATAGAGGACGCCTCGTATGTCTTACTGGTGGCATTGTGGCATGACATAAGTTTAGCGTTTTAGACGTTTAAGTTACATCTCTCAGTGCTTCTACTGGACTTTGTCACTGTCATAGATGTGAATAACATGAACTTTTCTCCAACAGTGGATTGGTCTCTCACTGCATCTCTATCTTGAAGGTAACTTAATTTCTCACTTGCTCCGTCAATCAAGTTTTAGTCTATATTTTTATTGATACTAACACATAATACTTCCACATGCAGATCTGCCACACTTTAACCGAAAAGCTGGTTGCCATGACAATGGGTTCAGGGGCAAAGGTCAAAGCACCAGCCAGCCTGAGTGACATCATCACTGTGGCCAAACGCATCAGCCCGAGGTAACACACAGCGTCCGATTCACCACATCTCAATATTAAGACATTACTGACTCAGGCAAACCTGCCTCCTCACGTCCTCACTGCCCCGTTTCGCAGGGTGGACGATGTAGTCAAATCCATGTACCCTCCTCTGGATCCAATCCTCCTGGACGCCAGGTAATCACATTTGTTGTCCCATCATTTTAAACGAGCTTTATGTATGAATTATGCTTGAGATGAGCAACCACTTGACTTGATTTATTCATAATGTAATAATAACAGTCGCAGGTACAACGACAGAGACAGTAATGCAAATGCAAGTGTCACTGAAAATTGATGCTACCAGGAAAACTACTCAAAATGTTGTTTTTCATCATTTAATCAAATTAAATTTAAAGTTTATGCAACCAATCGTGCTGTTTTATTTTCGTAACTTCTCAGTTCAACAGAGTGCCTATCATCCAGCAGCAGCCAGTTAAATCAAACCTATTGTCTTTTTCATCCTCCTCAGAGCCACTGCTCTCCTCCTTTCAGTCAGCCACCTTGTGCTGGTCACCCGCAACGCCTGTCACATGTCCGGCAGTATGGACTGGATCGACCAGTCGCTCCACGCTGCCGAAGATCACATGGTGGTTTTGCGTGAGGCAGCGCTGGCCTCCGAACCGGAACGTCACATGCACGGAGCAGACGCACAGAGAGAACATACCATCTAGAGCAAACACAGATACATACACAAACAAACAGCAGCAGCAGGGCATGGAAATATGTCCCAATTTATCCTTGAGCTGCCTCTTTCGAAATTCATAATTACAGGCACATATTCTGCCAGACAGTATTAAAAAGGCACGCTTCCTAAATTCATCATCCACTCCAAATTAAGAAGGACACCTGTGAGCGATAAATAGGCTGATGCTGATGGATACAGGGGCATGACTCTTGTCTGTCATTTTCATTTCTCCAAATCTTCTCTCAAATGTTTTCTTTATCATATTTGCACCAAAAACTGCTACAGCTACACAGAGGGTAAAGTAAAGTAGATGTCACACATTCAGATGCAGGGTTTTTTTATGTAACCCTACAGCAGATCTTTTTTAGTACTGGTCTGTTAAAGGTGTAATCCTCCAGCAAGTGAAAGGCCTTTTGGAAAATTTTCTTCTGGAGCGCGGCATCACCCAGCAGTGGGCCTAAATCCAATCTCGCCGGCACTGCACAGTCACATGGAGGCTTAGTCAGCTAATCCATTCTGAGGAAAATAACACCCAGTTACCCAGTGAACACAGAGGGGCTCCAAGTCAGTGGACCAATGGAAGAACAACTTGACTTATTTACAATTTGTGGGGTCAGCGTGACTGGTGGAACACAGATACTCTTAACGCTGTTAGAAATCACCGGTCTGTGAGTTTTCATAGATCAGCAGCAGTAGTTTCTGCCACATCAGCAGCAGAGTAAAGGTTTTTCCAGTTGAGTAACGCCCTTGTGTCCCATTGCTGCATTGTACTATGATTAATTGAGGCTGTTATTGATGGAGAACTATCTCTTTTAGCTATGCTAGCAGCATTGCCCTAGGTATGGCAATGTCTTTGTGACCGTCCAACGCTTTTGTCCACACTGAAATATCTCAGCATCTAGATGGATTGGCACAAAAATTTGGACCGACATTCATGGTTCCCACAGAATGGATCCTAATGACTTTGGTCATCCCTGGATCTATAGTCCAGGGCCACCAGCAGGTTCACATTTGTGGTTTTTAGTGTCTCAGCAACTTTGATTGCAATGACCTAACGCACAGATAGACTATTTATGTGCCCCACAGGTTGAATCATGACTTTGGTGATCAATTTTAATACAGCACCAGTAACATTCAATGTGTCAAATACTTTGGTTTATCTAATGGCAGTACCATAAAACTGTATTTTGTGTTTAGTGCTAATTAGCATTAGCTTTCTAATACACCAAACAAAGATGCCAAACATTATACCTGCTAAATATGCTAATGTTAGCATTTAGCTCAAAGCACCACTGTGCCTGAGTACAGCCTCACAGAGCCACTAGCATGGCTGTAGAAGTTGTGTTTTTCCCCTGTATGATTTCTGAAAGGCAGTGCTAGACATTGAGTGAAGAAACACTTGTTCTTTAATTCTGACAACAAAATGTTTTTAAAAAGCTCAAATTCGCTGTCATATTCAAGAGTAGCAGCTGTTTCTAGCTACATGTGTCCAGGAATAATAACAATATTACACAAATATCAAAATAGACCAAGACATTTTAAGTAAATCACCATTAGCTTTTTCCTTTCAAAAATATTGAGCGTTCACACACCAGGCTACTGGAAGATGTCTTCATGTATTATTGTGTTATGAGGATGTTTTGAACTGTGTTCAAAACATCCTCATGTGTGTTGACTGATGTGAGGCAGAATTAGCGTGTTGTTTTGGGCCAGAGGGATGTTATTGGAGCATGTCTACTTGCTCTTCCATGCATAGCTAATAGTGAATCCCCAAGGAGTCCTAATAAGGCATTACCCACAGTCACAATGAACACATGGGCCAACACAAGGCTTCAATACACATGGCACAAACCTTTGTACACACAAGGCTGGCAGACAAATGAACACATCAGTACATTCACTGTATGACACACGACTGTAAAATACACATCATGTATTATGGAGTCAAAAACACACTGGTGACAATCAGGAGGAAAAGCAGTTCAATTAACTGAAATCGAACTTAAGCAAAAACTGTAGCTCTGAGCATGAAGAGATGTTTTGATGGAAAGGTATCAATCCAGGAGAAAACATTTAGAAAGTGGTTAGCTTTTTATTTTTTATCTTGTTTACATTGTTTATTAGCATTGATCTTTTTTGTAAGCACTCTTTTGTTTTCTCATCCTTATCCCACAATTTGTTACTGATATCCTTCCCTTACTCCTACACACCATTTCTTTTTTTGTTTTTATCTTTCATTGATTTGTACAGATAAAATGAAATTTCGTCGGAAAATGTGCTTTGTTTTTGCTCTGAACAATAGCTACAGTGAAATTCGTGTCTGATTAAAAAGTCCACACACTCGTACTAATTTGACATAAATAAAAGTGAACTTCTTTCCTCTTTTTATTACGTTGTGAGCAGTCCTTTGTTTGCAGCAACATGGTGCAAATATCTCCCTGCCATCTTCCCTGCTGCAGAAGCATCAGTCAGCCTCCACTTGTTTGTGCTGTCTAGCAAAGCAGCCCTTTGCTTTTCTTCAAATCAATTTGCTTCCAGCTTGGGAGGGAGGCGTATTCATCTCTCTTCATTTCCAAAACAGTCTGAAACATAATTGTGGTGATTTATTTATGCAGGAAACAATGTAAAAATCAACTCACATAATAAAATATTAATGTTAAAAAAAGTTCAGGCTAAACTCCCTCACAGGATTTATCATCAGATTACAAAATATGGGAGCATCTTTTCCATTGGAAAAATATGGCAAACACTGCAGCCTGCTGGTTGAAAGACGTCACTGCCTACTGCTCCATCAGTTTACCTGGAAGTCTTGATCAGACAGGTAGACTTCCAGGTGCTGGGGGTCGACTCCTTCAGGTAAGGGGGTCCGCAACAGCTCCTCCAGAGGGTACTGGGTCTTCATGAGCTGGGCCAGGGCGTCCTGCACCAAGGTCAGCTTCACCCGCCCCGTGTCGCCCTGACACACACACATCAAACACACCCAGGGAAAGGGAGAGAAGTTGCTATGAATGGCAGCAACAGACCGTATTAATAATTGGAGATATTTGATGTGTATTGCACAATGCTTGAAGAAGTAACCTAAGGCAGAAGGTCAGGAGTAAGATACATCATTAGTTCCCCCCATTGTGACAACTAATTGAAAAAGTATCCATGTGAATTGTGAAAATCAAATTATACGGGTGACAAAATGATTTTTAGATTGATTGCTTGTTTGGTCGACATTTCAAAATCCAAAATCTAATTTAATCGAATTATTCTAATAAATTGAGGTTGTTACCAATGAAGAACCTGATATGACTTCCACTCAAATAATACAGGGGGGAAAACAAATAGAGGAGATACCAGGTTCTCCATCTACAACAGTCTCTATTAATTGTATTAATTGAACCTTTGTTGTTTTTGGCATTACAGGTCAATTTTAATGTTTTGGAGGATCAACAAAATACTAGCAATAAGTCTTAAAATATTGGTGAGCTTTAGCATCCAAAACCCCATATTAATTTACAGTATCTACTAATTTCACAGAGATAATGGCACAAAATTAGAAATACTCAACTATTCCAACCAGGACGTTATTCTTGTAAAAGAGGCAAAGCTTTAAAACTCCATTGCAAGCTTTTATTTAATTTCAACTATTTAATGATAAGGATCATTCAGAGAAACAGTCCTGCATTCAGATGAAGAATTACTTCACAAAAATACAATTTATGAGCCAATAAAGTGTTATCAAAGGGTGGGGGGGATCATTGCAGACAATTTTATGTAGCAGTGGCCTGTGAGAACCCTCTATCATGTTGACATGGCTGGCAATTATACACAAAATACTGGCAGATGAATGTCTATAGAGATAATGGCTTGGAATCTCAAACACCTTTCATACATATTAATACAAAGAAATATTTCTTTAGATTTATCCATGTCAGAGACAGCTGATAAAGAAATTAAACAGAGTATAGTAAACCTAATTTATTCAATATATTCATTGATGCATGTAAGATTAATAAACAACAACAAAACAACATGATAAGAAACATTTAATATCACAAATCTACAGTTGAATACAAAACTACATTAATGTTTATGTCAGACAGACACGGGAGAAGGAATCAGGCCTGGACATATCTGAAGTTGGAATTTGGGAAAGCAAGGCTAAAAACGTTGGATGAACATAAAATTATATTTTGTGGTTCCAAAATTAAAATTTGCTCAAAGGGGTTATCAGGGACAGGATGAATGCTGGAAGCAGCGTGGTGAGAAAATGACTCATTTTTTGAGCTTTTTCATATTGGCAAGATATTGTTAAAGAAATAATGAAAAAGTTTGAACTAGATATTAATTGCTGTTTTGTTACATTATACCTGCGCAAATTTCCAGACAAACTCACGGCTCAGGATGAATAAAATACTCCTGGCTGCAGCCAAACCCTCCAACAAAGGACAACTGGACTGCAGTTGTCAACAAAACAAACTTTGTGGAGAAACTGACCTTTACCTTAAGACTATGATGTGATCAATATGTATAATACTGAAAGAATGGACAACATGTATGTGCCTATAAGATGCAACCCATCACATACTGCATGTCATTGAAAGTAAAGTATAATGTAGCCCATGTCAATCCCTCCTTTTAGCCCTGAAAATGTCAAAAAAAATTTAAGCCAAAAAAAGATTATACTGCATGTCTAACCTTCTTTGTGAGGCTGTTAATCTTCACACGATATAGACCCATACGTCACTCCCACAAGACTACACAACATGTTGCCTTGTTCCTACATGATTAGCTGATCATATAACTGCATGGTGCATGTACCTGTCTATGGGGTCCTGGGCTCCTCTCCCAATGGGGGAACACATTAGTGAAGGTGAGAGGTTCTGACCCCTCAAAGATGAGATAGGCCTGTGGCGGGCGTCTTGGGTTCATCTCTGGGATACAAAGAGAAAAATCATACCATTGTTTTTAAACGCATCAACAACCAGCAACCTCTTTTCGTTCCCCAACACATTCGTTTCAACAACAGCGTCCTCCCACCTTTGCAGTACTGCAGCGCCGTCTGCATGGCACACCTCCTCTCGCTGTGCCAGCAGCTCCAGGCTGAAGCCGAGCTCTCTGTCTGCTCAGGCTGACCCCTCTGCCACAGGTAGACCTCCAGACGGTTGTCAAGCAGGAACAAGGCTGGGGGACAGACAAGAAAGACAGGGACAGTCTTTATTAGACAATAAAGTGGAATTAGATTAAATACATATTAAATTACATTTGACTTTAATGTTTTTGTGGGATATTTGTGTTTTGGCGGCAATAAAAAAAAATATATATGAGAAAAGGCGAAGTAAATGTTAACATGTAAAACAAAAATATTTTGTGAACATATAAAAAGACAATCAATGTATGACTCCATGCTTAATTTACTATATAAAGCCCCTAAACAGTACTATAGAACCTCAGCCGCCTTCAGTGTTTTAAGCCACTTCTTAAAATACATTTCAGTGGATATTTTCTAAAAACCTATTTGGGGAATTCAAATATTGGAGTTAAAGAGAAAAAGAACATATTTTGTGTATTGTGTGAAAGTGTGTGTTCTCTCACCTGGCAGTGGTACAGAATACAGGCTCTCCTGAACAAAGGGCATTGGCATCACGAGCCCCGGCAGCCGCGTTGGACTCTGCAGCTCTTCTGCCTGGAAACTCCCAGAGGAGGCACTCAGGTGGAAGAGGCGGGGTGTGAAGTTATACTTTCCTGGATCTGACAAAAGACAGGCATTACATTTTTCTACAATGATTTTAAAGTCCACAAGAAGTGAGAGAAATTTCCTTGATAGAGAAAACAAAAGTAAATGCTGTTTTCTACCTTGCAACATGCAGTCATAGGCCTTCCTGTCCATCTGTCCCAATGCTGTCCAGAAGTCTGCAGGCTCTGAACCTTCCTCCACTACCTGCACCTTCACAGCGCTACTTTTGCTGAGCCCCAACTCTGGTGGACACCTAATGAAAATGTTAAATTCACAGGGTGGAAAATAATTTCAACCATAAATGTTAAAAACATGCCTGGACACTCTTGTGAAAGCCCACGCAGAGTATGTGACTTACATTTGAGTGAGAAGTTCCACTGCCCTCTTGCCAACTTCTCTGGAGCTGGTATGAGCTTTACAGCCAGTCCAGAGATACAGCACCCCCTGCTGGCTATTGAGCAGGACAACAGAGCCCCTGGACCTCAGACCTGCACAGCAGCAATCCACTTCCAACAGAGAGCCCTCTTCTGGGAGCTCTCCTCGCACACAGAACAGACGCCACTCTGCTACAGCAAAGAGATTTTTAAAATCACATGACAAAACAAGATACAGGAAGACAGAAATATGCCCGTTCTCAACCTGCATTAGTGGAGGCCTCCTCTCGCTTGCCCTTGTGAATGACCAGGCCTCCCTCGAAAAGCTGCAGGAAACAGGGAGGTTCCTTTCCTTGAAGTACCAATACCTTCAGAAACAAGACAAAAAACATAAAGGCTGCTGGAGGCGTAGATGTACTTTCAGTAAAAAAAAAAAAAAGTACTCAAGTAGTAAACAAGGGTTCCTTTTACTGTTATAATGTTTTAATTATTGTTGCATTAACCTGTAAGAATTTTTTGAGTGTTTTAGTTGATTAAGCCGTTCAATGCGTTGTACCCTTTAAAAGGAAGAAATAATGTGAAAGGACAAGTAGAAGTCATGCTAAATGCTTTCATCCATTTTATTCTGAAAGAAGAAGCGTAACAACAACATCAAACATGATATAACCAATTCTCAAAATATTTAATATTAAAAAAACATTCTTCCACATATATGACATTTTATGAAAAATGCCAAATCATTGTCATCTGTCAAACAGTTTAAACTCTAACTCAAATGTCGGCTGTTTGACAGATGACCGTGAGGAGGGGTACAGACGCCTGATTGAGAGCTTCATTGGATGGTGTGACAGCAGCCACCTCCAGCTCAACACAAGAAAAACCAAGGAGCTGGTGGTGGACTTCAGACGCAGCAAGATGCCCCTCACCCCTGTTGTAATAAGAGTTGAGGGAGAAGAGATGGTGGACACCTACAGGTTCCTTGATAGTGCAACTCAACAATAAACTGTACTGGACAGACAACAACCCTCTACAGGAAAGGACAGAGCAGGCTGTTTTTCCTGAGGAGGCTCAGGTCTTTCAATGTGTGCACCAGGCTGTTACTGATGTTCTACCAGTCTGTAGTGGTCAGTGTCATCTTCTTTACTGTGGTTTACTGGGGAGGTGGCATCTGGACTTGTGGAGTCTAGCTCGGTAGTGGGGATGGAACTGGACAGTGTGGAGGCAGTGACTGGTAGCAGGATGAGAGGGAAGCTGAAAACCATCACCCCTCTCACCCTCTCTATGCTGATCTGAGGCAGCTCAGGAGCACCTTCAGCCACAAACTCATCCAGCCCCGAGCCTCAAAGCACTTTGGAGGCTCATTTGTGCCATCGGCCATCAGGCTCCACTACACCACAGCACCCAGCTGACGGATTTTGCTGATTATATTTCAAACATTTATCTGGTTGTAAATGGTTGTATATAATTATTATTGATCGTACAGTCTAAATAGTGTGTTAATACTTCTACGTAGAATGTTAATTGTATATTGATCGCATATAGTGTGCTTTCAGTTTATATATATTTATACTGCATCTGTTATTTTAAATTCCTTTGGGCTGCTATGTTGGCCGAAATTTCCCCTACAGGGGATTAATACAGTTGTATCTTATCTTACCTTATCTTAACATATGCTGAGCACATATGTATTCAGTGTGTATTTTGCATGTAATACTGCACTTTATCTACCAACTACAATCATACAGTTCTTACAGTGTTGTTAACTTTAGTCATCAACATTTCAATCAATTCTGTAGGCCATGAGCTTACCTGTGACTCTTCGTGGTTGTTCATCCCGATGGACAGGAAAGCTGCAGTGTCCCGCCCGCTGACATTGGAGTGACGGCCTCTCCACAGAAACAAGGCTGTGGTTTCTTTTTGTTGTCCGGAGACCCTGCTACACTCGTCAGCGCTGTTTATGTTATCTACAGCATAGAAAAACATGGGTCATCATTAGACTGCATGACTGCACTTTTGTAGCTGATACTCTCCAAATCAAACTACAATGGTTAAAACTACAAAATGTCAAGAAAAATAAGACGTGCAAAGGTCACGTAGTATGTGATGAATGTCACTGACCAACAGTGTTAATGGTGTATGTCCAGCGGATGACGTAGGAGTCTTCTTCATGAAGCTGTCCGGTGCTCTCCAAGGGAATTTCACTGTCATCAAATTCCTGGACGTGCCAGGTCTCTACAGCAACTGTCTTCAGCTCCATCTGATGTCCTCCCTCCAGCATGATGACTCCGTGCCCCCTCTGGACATCAACTCCAGCCAACACACTATGAACCAAGCTGTCCCCTCCCAGTGACTGACCTGAGACTAGAGACTTGGCGTCACAGGCACTCAGGGGGTCTGATGATGGGGACACGGCCTCAGAAGACTGTACTGGGACAGGCTGTGCAGAGATGGAAAATAGATGAGAGTGAGAAGCAGTTAAAAGAGCAGATATTTCCCCACATGTTGAAATAACTGTTATTTTCCTGTTATCAATCAACAAGCAAAGGTTTTCTGTGTGCTGTAGTGGGACTTTTAAATGTTGAACTGTGAAATGAACCTGTGGCTCCTTGTCCACTGAAATAGTTTCCTCCCTGCCTCCACTCGTGCCCGTCCAGTCCAGGAATTTCTCTCTGAACAGAGCGGTTTCATTGTGCTCTGAGACGCAGCCGAACAACGCCCAGCTGGGACGTCCCTCCCCCCTACTGGGGACAGAATTAAAGGTGCGTGAACAAATGTCAGTTATTAATACATAGTTATGATGTTTTTCAAACAAACTACTATTTATCAGACACAACTTAGCAGGGGGGTAGGAGTGGTGGGAACGTGAGGGTGGATACTAGAACTAATAGTCGTGGATGCGTGGAGGGGCCCAGAGAGAATGCTTTAAATGTGCAGGGTGCAGATTTTTGTGCGACGCCCCTGCTACTTAGTTTTACAGGGAACCCCTATACACTTTTATGTATGTTTATTAACTTAAAACTTAATAAACAGAGGAAATCATTACTCACATTTTTGTTTTAATGCTCTTAAATTATGATATTATGATATTATGTTATTATGGGAATAATGCTATCATATTAACCTGTCTCTTAATATGTGTAGTTTAACACATTTGGGTGCATTCTTAGTATGAACTATGGCTGTATACACTATATGGTAAAAAGTATGTGGACATGCCTTTTTTGAATAAGGGAAATTATGATATTTTAGACAATAATGTGCATACAACTTTGTGGTAACAGTTTGAAGAGGGCCCTTTTCTGTTTCAACATGTCAGTGCTCCCGTGTACAAAGCCAGCTCAATAAAGACATGTCTTTTCCAGTTTGGTGTGGAGGAACTTGACTGGCCTGCACTGAGCCCTGACCTCAACATAATCCAACATATTTGGGATGAACTGGACTGTGAGCCAGGCCTTATCACTAAACATTAGTGCTGGACCTTACTAATGCTTTTGTGGAGCAAATCCCTGCAGCCGGGTTCTTAAATTTGGTGGACAGCCTTCAAAGAAGAGAGAGGACTGTTGTAGCAGCTGGTTTTTGAATGACATGGAATATTTCTGTGAGTGTACTGTAGGCATGTAGTAGACTTTAATGTTTGCTCTCAGTGTGAATATATGTTTGCACAGAGTGCTGCAGTAAACTGGGGTTTCTGTCCACTTTCTTAATGACAGCATGTCAATATGTAGTGTGGACTCACAACTGCCTGCTGGGATTTTACAGCATGTCATGTGGTTACAATGCTGTATGCTGGGGTTTTTCCACGTGAAATGTGGAATTACAAGCAATTCTCTTTGGTCTTACAGTGTGTGTGCACAGTAAACTTAATGCTGTATGCTGGGGTTTCACAGAGTGTTGTGTGGAATTACATCCATCACAGTTGTACTCCACTGTCTCTGTAATGTGCCCTAATATTGATATGCTGATATTTTTTTGTTGTGAAGTGCGAACTAAAAGCTTTACAGCTTGCAGTGTGAACTTACAGCGGTGTACTGGGGTTACACTGTGTGGGATCCAGTGGATTGACTCGGCAGTTGCTGTAGTCATAAGCTCCAACCCACACTTGGTGAGTCAGCTGGAGAGCAACAGTCTTCCTGCTGAGGGAAACATCCTGTCCCTGCCACAGGTACACCTCACTGCCGAAATCAAACACCAGGGCCTGGACACACACAGGCATATACAGTGTGTGCACACATTGGACACTGTCATAATCAGCTATTAAAACTAACTTGTAAAACAACTTAGAAACAACACATAATCAACAACATTAATGATCAAGCAACAAGAGAATCCAGAAGAGACCTCAGACCTCAGTGGCACCCAGCAGGGAGACACTGGGAATGGAGGCCCAGGCCTGTTCATGAGGCACCAGTCTGTTCTCCACCAGCCTGTACACACAGTTGGACTCCACCACACCACACTCATAGAGGTCATCCTCTTCCTCTGCACTCGCTCCTGTTAGAAGAAGCACACACAAAAACATACTGTGAGGTCCAAGCAGCTAACTAAAGAAAATATACACAAAAATGTATAAAAGAACAAGCAGATCTTGATGCTGAAACAATCTACTCTGGGAGAAATTTACAGTAAATACAGTACAGACTGTAACCTCTGTATTGTGTCCTTCCTCCTAGAAGGCTCCAGAAGTCTGCAGCCAGGCTGCCGTCACAGTTCAGCCCTTCCTCCAGGTGGACGATCTGGGAGGCCCGACAGCCGAGATCCCCTTGACTCTGGATTATTGATGCCAACGTTGAGGCCTGAAAAAAAGAAAATACTTACTGAACCCTATGTGTTTAATGCATTAATGCATAATAAAAGAGAACATTAATGCTCTTGTTTATAAAAACATCAGAAAGCATCATACTGCCAGTATGACTTTACAGTATTTTAATGCATCTGAATGCTGCTCAAAATGCATTTTATGCACAAAATGCTCCTTGGGGCATTAAGTGTGATTTGTTAAATGCCATTTGTAGCATGAAATAAAAAATATGAATATGGAATATTTATGAAGTGGTTACAATTTAATTTTAATTAGATAGATAGATAGATAGACAGATAGATAGATAGATAGATAGACAGACAGACAGACAGACAGACAGACAGACAGACAGACAGACAGACAGACAGACAGACAGACAGATAGATAGATAGATAGATAGATAGATAGATAGATAGATAGATAGATAGATAGATATTTGTTCTACTAAATTAAGTTTCATGCCATCTGGACACTTTCACTAAATGTATTATTATGATACCCCGGCACTCTGTAATTTTATGCCACCAACATCCTGTCTTAATCAAAATTAAAACATTATGGTGTGTTTCTGTCCTTACTGATACCTTGGCTTTCTCTTGTTCGTTGGCAAACTCTCCACTCCACAGGATACAATGCTCCGGAGTGACCAGCAGGAAGCAGTCTCCACTGTTCAGCGACCGCACTGAGGGTTCAACCAGACGCACCTGGACATGCCGCCTACCTGTCACCACAGGCACTAGTTAATATAAAAACCTGAACACAAAGACATCATCATGAGAACACTCAAGCGCACAGATAAACCAAATCTTTTCTGACCTTTGATGTGAATGAGCATCAGGCTGTTGAAGGGAAGATAAGACTTGGCGTTCACAGCCTCTGAGGAAGAGATTAAGTCTTCTGATCTGGCAAGATGTGAATTGGCCACAGAGGAGTTCTTGGACTCTGTGGGGGAAAACACACTATAAGGAAGAAAGACAGTAAAAATGGGAAATGAGAAAAGAGAATATATTCCCTCTCACTCTTCTCTGTTTGGATCCTCTCCTCAGTAGCTGAGTTGTCTCTCTCTCCCATGTAGTCCTGGCTGATGTCCTCCCTGGCAGCGAGAGCCCTCAGAGGGTTTCTGGATCCCTGAGTCCGACGGGACGGACGCACTGAACGCCTATGCTCTGCTACTGCAGAGGTCAGCCTGCACCACACACACGACAAATACGGTTTCCAACAGACAGTACAGACAGTCTCCGAGGGAATATTATATTTAATAGCTAATGATTATTAATGCAAATCATACAAACTACGTGTGTTTAGTGCACAAAAATGTAGTAATTTTGCTCTTATTCCAAGATTCCAAGAAAAATAAAGTGCAATCAATCATGTTTGAAATTTTTGTCACTTTTGAAATCATTTCAGAGTGCTCTGGAAGTCACTTAGCCTCTGTGCATGTAATACAGAATAAAATAACACAGACATGACTCCCTGTAAAAACACAAGCTAAACGTTTGAGGTTGACCCGGTGTTCTCTGTTTCAGAAACAGTCAGCCCTGGTGTCTGTCAGTGAACTACTATTAGGGATGTGGTGCACAATTATCTTCATAAAATCAAGTTCATCTATGGGACTTTCAGAGAGCATAACATACAGCAGAATAGTATTTATCTCAAAAGAAAAAAACTAAAAACCGATGGGTGCAGTTTCCCTCTACCACATCCCTGAACATTTATGATATTTATAATACATCGATAGAAAAGGCCAATAATCTTACAATCTGTGGTCAAACCAGGCTCACATGGGTGTGTTGGTCTGGCAGAGGACACCCAGGTCCTGCTCACTCTCCGCAGCAATGTCTCCACAGGGTGGGGGGGCGCAGGCAGAGGAAGGTGACTGATCTCTGTAGAAACCCGACGTGTTTGAGCCATCCACAGGTGTCTCCTCCTTCACTTCATGTGGAGCCACTGAGAGTGGAGAGCTCTGTGGTGCTGCCAGACGACGGAACAGGAAATTAAATAAATTTTAACATAATTTTAAACAACTTGTATCAACAAGCCTTTACATATCCATGAAACTATTGTTCAACAGTTTAGAGAGAAACAAACAAGAAACTGGCACAAAGATTTTTATCATAAGAACTAATGCTGCTCAAACCTTCATAGGTGCACGTAGGAGCTTCAGAGGAGTGTCTCTTGTTCTGAGAGGTGTCATTTCTATCTGATTCTGGAAATCCAAGACCTAACAGATGATAAACGGCTCGAGTCAGAGATACAAACCCACAGAGGCTGAGTTTAAAGATGTGGTGATTATCAGATTAAAGAGAGTGAGTAAACCAGAGCACAAAAACTCACCTCTCTTGGCCATGTGTCCAGCCTTTTGCCCGTTCCTTTCCTGCTGTGTATTTATTTCCTCGGCTTCATCTGTCTGAAGCTCATCCTCGACTCCCTTCGCCTACACAGCCAGAAAAACAGACGTGTTAATGTAAGATTCAAGCATCAAAAATATTAAAATATTTAAAGAAATGCCGGCCTGCATCACCTTCTGTCTCCACTGAGGCTGAATCTGGTTATTGGTAGGAGAGGCGACTTCTTGTGCCTCAAAAGAAAGGCTTGTCTAAGGATGAAGTGAAAACAGAGTCCGATCGTGAGTCCTTTAGTGTAGGAGAGTAAAAGGAGACGCCTTTGGGGACGTGCATGACCAGGGGGAAAAATATGATGCAGAACCAACGTTGAAGGAACACGATTCATTTGGGGACAATGAGCAAGAGTGCTCACAAGGCTATCAGCTGTATTTAGGTAGCAAAACATATAAAGTACAAGATGTACAGATTTTTTACATGGAAGAAAGGGAAAACATTATGTTAGGATAAATCTTATTGTTTAATAACATTTTACTTTATTTATGTCTTATTTCTTAATGCTGCTCCACATGGTTAATTGGTGCAAATGTAGTCATTAACAATATTGCTCATTAGAGTTCTGCCTTGTATATTCTTTAGATGTATATACTGTTCTGTAATGTATAATGGGTGATATCATTACATTATTGACTCATTGTTTTGCTTTGTATTATTTATCTTGATTTATCTTTATTGATTAATGTGCATTATCCTTATAAATAAAGAAAAGGAAATAAAAGGAAAACATGATGCTCAATAAGGAAACACAACTCAGATTTAAAAAATGGCAAAACACCCCTGTTGCTTTTGAGTTTACTGTCAATACAGCAGGAATTATTATATCATTGTATTGTTTAAGTTTAACTTGCATATTTCATCAGCAACAGAACTCAAACTTGGATCTCCTTTGTAATTAGTTTCTCCAAAATCTAATTGGGAAGGTTGGGTGCGGGGATATGACATTTAATTTTTATTTCCAACAAGGGGAATGACAGAAAACATTTAGACGTTTAAACATTTAAAGAAAGAAGTGCAAGAGAACTATGAGAATACACAATTAACAGAATCAACATGGAAACTGTGAAGTTATAGCTGCAATGTATCATCTCAGGAAAAGGATCATTTTCACACAAAAACACTCAAACAGAGTTCACTCGTTAGCGTGAGTGAAACTTGTAAAAAATCACAGCCTCCTCAAACTGTGTGATGACAAAACTTTACACTGCATACAAAACACTGCAAAACCAAAAAGCGACAATTAATCTGCCATGCAGCGGCCCAAAGAATTACCTGATTGAAACACATGATATATTGGGGTGTACTGCTAGAATAGACAGAGGCAAAGACGGGTTCCTGGGAGAGAAGAGGAATTAGAAGAGAGAGAGGGGCAGGCTAATACTATTGTAAAATTAGTAATGGAGATAATAATGGAGATTTAGACGGATCTATGCACATCAAAGTATTAGTTGAACACTTACCCAGCACTGAGGGTTGACACTCTCCTCATGAAGATGTTCTGTCTCTTCCTGCAGAGGGCAGTATGAAGGAAGACATGGGAATAGACAATTAAATAAAACATCAGGAAATCAATTAAAATATTGCTAGAAATATAAAATTAAAACAAAATGAACAGAGCACGAAAGAAAGAAAAAGTAAAATTAATACACACATACATGTACACAGCCGTCACCATAGAGCAGCTGAGATCATAAGGTCCTATAAGGGTCAACATTTAACCTCCAGAAAAAAACAGAAAAAAACAGTCTGTTTACATTCCACATGCTGTTCTGACACAGTCAAACCCACCTCAGTACATAAACACTAAGTGGTCTGGATATATTCCCCGGTAACTTAAGTCTGATCTAAAGACATTTAGCACCTACCAAATCCAGAGCGTTGTTGCTACAAGAGGCTATATCTGGTTACACTGGAATGACAAATACACCAATCCACCAACCCCACCACCCTCTTCTCCATCTGGTTTTAAGGAAGGAGTAAACCCAACAACCTCTACTTGCAGTTTTCTTCACATCCTGATCAAAACACTGCAAAACAGCTGTGACATTTTGTATTGGTTCCTAATGTGATTCAATTTTAAGAATGGTGTTAAGTCAAGTGGAATTTTGCTGATACCAGTAGAGTGACCTGTCTTATGCTCTCCTGAAGACAAAATGTTACTGATACACAGAAGAAGGAGATTAGGGTCCATTTAGCAGCAAATGTACTTCACTTTGGGGTGGCATTTTCTTCTAGCTGGTGCTGCATCATAGGCCGAACAGTCGCACTTTCAGGTCACTCCCTCTTTCATTCAATCATTTAGGCAACTGTGACGGCACCAAAATATTACAAGTGACAGGTTTCTGACAGGGTATGAAAGGAGCCCGTGTTTTATACAAGCTGTAAGGTGACAGATCGTTTGCATGTGGCTAATGTATGGGTATATTATATGAAATATGCCCCGAATGGTCCTGTGGGCAGAGTTAATAGTGACAAATGTCCCTCTTTAAAAGAAACAATTTGTGTCATTCCTATCCAACACATAAATCAAGGGTGTAGGTTTGGTTTCAGAAGTGGAGGGTCAGAAAACTGTAAATAAATAAACGTTATTTTGTCCTGTGTTTATATATTTTTATCAACCTAGCTAATAACATATCATAATGGATTCTTTATAGGGTTTTTCAAATTAATAGTAGTCAAATAAAAAATTAATTTAATACACTAAAGTTTAAAGTTTTTGTTAAAAGAGACCTGGGGTCTCATTTATAAAACTGTACATCGAAAAGTCTCCAAAAGGAAGTGCGTATGCACAAAAATATTCTGATTTATAAAACAGTGCGCACACGTCCTACGCCAATTTCCCTTTATCAATCACGATTAACTTGAAATGTGGCACATGTGAGCGAGCTCCTTGTCTGCCCCTTTACACACCTATAGTTTCCTATAAATGGTCAACTCATTAATGTTAATAAGCACTGAATGACTGATCGATTTATTTTACACAACAGTAACGTTTCATCCTTCTGCCATGTCAGTCGCTATTTCTCATTTCTCCAGTTTATGATCATACCCATTAGTTTGCATGGATGTGATGTGATGGCACATTCTCCCCACAAGTTTGTTTTTTATAGATCACAACCTTTGTGTGGGAAGTGGCGTTCGTACGTACGCACTGTTTATAAATGAGACCCCAGATCTTTATGATAGATAAATATTATATTTGCTTCTTTTCTACAAAGAGCACTGTCCTTTACAGTCTTATTTTTGATGGACGTTCAATAATGTTTTTAGGAGATTACTAACTAGATAAACCTGGATAAACATATCAAAATTTCTATTCTAATCTCTGGTTTTTGGGCGGCTTGATTCTGTTTAGAGAGATTTTAGCAAGTAAATCAAACTGAAACCTTAAAAGTGAGGGTGATAAAACTAGGAGAAATGTGAAATTACACCCCTTGCATAAAATGTTGGAGGGCTGACTGAACTATAGACAAGAATCCTTCTCTACAAATAAAAACAAGAGTGAGGGTTTGGTCTGTGCTGGCCACAGACTAAAGCCACCCCTGGAAGCCCTCTGGTCGGCGCTGCTATTACAGACTTGAGGCTGCATGATTTGCTAAAAAAGAGTTGCCCCTTTATAGACAAGAGGTGAACCTTCGGCAGAGCGGCCGCTGATTCTGCAGATGTGATTTAGTCCACTGAGATTCTCATCACAGACAGTATCTTTGTGTCTTACCATACTTCTGCTGGTGTTGGTTGTCTCCTTCAGTTTAACGTTGTCATCTTCCAGTGTCACCTGAACATGCCCCATGGCTGTGGTTTCTTCATTCCTCTTCCTCACACTCTCTTCCTCGCTATGTTGCCTTTTGGACATATCACATACAAAAAAACACTGCTGAGAATGGATGTTTGTGCTGGTGACATCTGTAAATTTGATTGTTTGATTGTAGTATTAAAAATTCCCCACAAATGATCATCATCAAAGCACATTCATGCATTCTTCAAAATGTCATAGAAGAATTAGAGCAAAACCTTCCTGATATAAAAAATGTTCTTACAATAAGGCATGTACCAACCCATCTAACTCATTTCAGGCACTTACCTAACTCTCCCAGTGGTATCTGAGCTGTGTTCCACAGTAGAAGCCAGCTGTTCCTGTGGTTTGGTCCAGCTGTTCTTCTCCTCCTGAGGAGCGTCCTGCTCTGACAAGGCTCTTGTTGGTGTGCAGGCAATGGTTTCCCTCCTGGTTCGAGCCCTCTGCCTCCAGGGAGCAGCAGTCAGTGAGCCTCCCTCTACACCTGAAGCGTCCCGTCTCTCTCTCCGTGGTGCTAAAGAAATTCCCTGCTGCTCTGTGCTCTCCATTCTCATTTGTATCCCTGCTTCTTCACAACCTCCGCCATTCTGTTCATAGCTGAACGGTGCATCTGTCTGACCGCCCTCCATCCTGCTCCACTCTGAGCCGCCAGAGCAGCTCTTTTTCAGGATTCCTCGCAAGCCTGGTTCGGAGCCGTGGCGCTGCAGGCCCTGCTGGATGGGGCCACTAGGCTCCCCAGGCACAGGGCCGGTGTCAGGTCTTGGCTGGGAAAGGCGTAACTCACTGGGTTTTAGGTTGACAGACGAGGCCTGCTGTCTGTCGGACAGATGAGGGGACAAACTGAATGCAGGAAGCTGTACGGGGCCTTTCTGGAGCTGAACAGGGATAAAGCAAAAAGGTGTGATTCAGTTTTAGATAACTGTTCAAAATGTACTTGATTTCAAATTATTTCAGATAGGGTGTATATCAACACACACCACATGATGAAACATGTAATATAAATGTACAGTAGTTTGATTTCACTATTGTTTTGGCTCGCCTACTCACCAGGCTGACCTCCTCCACAGTGATGGGCTGCGTGCGGTACCGAGCCCCCTTCTGCCTTCGTCTCTCTGGGGGCCCATTATCAGGGCCGCCCCCCTGCCTCTCTGGCAGGGACAATTTGTTGAAGAGGGCCAGCTTCTCGCTCATGCTCAGCTTGCAGCTCTCATCGCCATCCTCCACCGACTCAGGATGCACAGACTGGGACTCCACTTGTGGTGCTGCTTTGGGGGCACTGCAGGGAAACACGAGTTCACATGATATAAAACAGGCTTCTAATAACAAGATGAGGCTTATTATAAGTCATTCGCACTTACACTGTCCTGCTGCCCCAAATACTCACTAAAGCACAAAATGTGTGTTAATCTGCCAATGAAAATAGTCCCCAAAAATACCCCTTGTTGAGTCATGTTTGCTACAATGCCCACCTGCTTTAAGTCTTTACTGAGCCTTTTTTTTAAACAAAATGAAACACATACACATGGGCTTGTGATAGAATGTCACAGACTGAGTAGAGTAGTAATACACTGAGATGATCTCAAACCTTTTTTTTTTTTAACCACATGACAGTTCTACTAAACAGTGATATGAGTTCATGCATCTGATTTTTGTTTTACCTTTTTAGAGGGTAAACTTTCCAGTACTTCACAAAGAAAGCTACATTTAAATACAAGTCAGTCGTTTGGCTGAGCAGATCTATGTATTTTCCTCTTTCTTATCGTGTTAATCATCGCCCAAATTTATCTTAAAACCCCTTGAAGTGGTCCAAACGTCCGGGCTGAAAATCAATGGACATTACTTAGCCTTTAAAAAAGATACTATACAGTATGACCTGTTTTTAAAGATGTATGTTGTTGATTTTGGTCTTGTTATGGGATTTGTTGACAGCAGGACAATTACAGAGTAATGCCACCCTTACCTCAGGCTAAAGCTAAGCTAACAAAACAACTATGAAACAAACTTCTAAAGTAGTGTCATGTCAATTCAAGTTTGAACAGCGCATAAAATTGTTAATAATCTAATGTACAAGAAATATGTACATGAAATCTAATGTACATGAAATGTACATGCAATATGTGCATTAGATGTACATGAAATATGCTTCTTTATATGTATTCCTTGCACTGAAGCTAAAATATCCCTCCATATGGCCACCGGGCTTCCCCACCTGATTGCCACAATTTCCTCACAGGTGACTGGCTGAGTTAGAAAGCGATGGTCGTTCCCACGGCGCACCCTGCGCTCATGACAGACGCTGCCTGAGCGAGGCTTCAGGAAGGCCGAGGCCTCGGGGGCAGCAGACTTCTCCAGCTCCTGCAGAGGAGGCGGGGAACATTTTACTATCAACACAGGACATTTTGCTTTTTCTACAGGTGGACCCAAACATTCAGGTCACATAGCAGCCTCAATTAACAGCCTCCACCTGCTAAATATGTAATAAGGGTGACCACAAAAATGGCAGTGAAAACTCCCTCTCCTGATGTCTCCTGTTCTATTTGTATGGACAGATGGAGGGAGGGGAACCGGGTCAGATGGCCGGTGAATAAAGCAGCTAGCTGTAAGGTGGAGTGTCTTGGCTACATGGATAGAATGCCAGCCCAACAGGTCACAGTGTAACCAGAGCTCTGCCAGCTTCAGTTACCTCCCCGCCTGCCTCCACAGAGAAGAAGGCTAATTATAACACTGCTGCTATGGTTGTTAATGGTAATACAGTGTCCGCCACATTTTCACCTGATGACTAAAACTGTGCAGGGGGTAAAATGTAGGAATGGAGATTGTAACACGAGAAAATCCACAGTGTGTTTTATCTTCTATATAGGTTTTTTTTTTTTAAACTTCAGGAGTGTTTCGTATGTGTATTTATCACTCTATATATTTAGTCTTTCTTTTAATAAATTCAGACTGTAGCATCAAACTAAACTGTGGATCTGGACACAGCACCTGTTTGACCATTCATATCCATCAACATGATAAGGTTGTGTTTTGCATGCTCAGCTCTGGCTCACCATGCGTCTCAGCCTGTAAGGTGAGCAGCTGAGGTGACTGTCGATGACAGACTGAACTTTCTCTTTAAGCTGTTCAATATATTTCTTTAGCTTTTAATCTAGTGAGGGATATTATTAGATATATTTCAGTTTGCAGTTACATATCGGCAGCATTTCCAATTAAGCAAATTCATCTAGGAGCTGATATCTGGATAACAGATGATTAGTCATGAGTATACAAATTATTCAACTGTGACTGTGTATCTCACATCACATTAAATGGAGAAGCAGGGAATAGCCTGACTTCCATGATCTCTGCACAGAATCAATTTTAGCAGCAGGCATTAGGGCAGGCAGCACGAAACAGAGAAAATAAGCAGGTCACGAACAGCAAGGATCCCGTTTCAGTGCTGAGACTAACATAGACTCACTTTAAACAAAGACATCTTGGCTGCCACACTCATTTTGGCTCGGGCATCTGTTTTCACATCAGCTGTGAGGAAAACAAATACATAAATCATCATGTCATTAAGGTTTGCAAATCAACATAGTAACAGTTTGTGAGAACTTCAGATACAATCAGCAATTAGCCGCTGTTAAGAAATGTGCCCATGGTCAAAAAGGCTTTGAAATGAACATTGACGACCCGACAAAAGAATGTAATTTCTGCAAAGTAGAACTGTTCTTGAGTAAAATTTTTAGGTAATTGCACTTAAGTTGAGTATTTACATTTTCTGCTACTATATACAGTACTTCATGCTTCATGTTTCAGTTTGTAAATGTACTCCACTTTATTCATTTGACAGCTATAGTGATAAGTTAAATTTAATATTAAGATTGCACATAATAAGACACAGGATGACCGTATATATGCAATACATTATTAAAGATTATACAAAAGTTTGGGGTCACTTGTAGTCACGTTTTAGATGTCTGTGAGTTGTTAGTAAACTTCTCAGATAGTATATAAAAAACATTTAAAAAATAAGATTACATAAAAGTCCAAAACAATTTAGCAAAAATTGTAGTAAAACTTAGATTTATCTTATTTCCAACCCCATTAATCACCTTATTGCCCCTCGGATTTATTCTGGTAGGGGGGGAGATATTTTCAGTTTGATACTTTCAAAGTCTAGTCTCTTACTAGTTTTCCAACATTACCGACCCCAGCTTTAAGTACATTTTGCTGATAATACTTGTGTAATACTATTTATCTAAGTACGATTACGAAGGTGGGGCTTTTATTTGTAATGGATCATTTTTATACAGTGGTATCGGTATTTCTTCCTCCATAGACAGTTGTGAAGAATAATTTTCTGAAACTTGGTGATAAAACAGCTGCTTCCCACATGTTAACTGGATTAAAAAAGTAACTCTGGTTACTGATTACACTCTCTTTACACATTTATAGTTGAATGCTGATCATATAAAAAGCTATGAAAGCAGCGCTGTAGTTAAGTAGCACATAGACACAACGAGACTTGATGGGCCTTGAGACTGATCCCTTCGTGTGAGGCCGTGGGCCATCTCACACCTGGCAAACAGAAACAACACACTGACGTCTCTGATCTGGAGAAGCTAAACAACAAGCCTCTGAGAAGATAAAGCTGGTTTGTTGGAAAAAAAGCAAATGAAATGTGGATAGCTTATAGACAAAAAAACTAATTTGCCCAAGCCACATTTTAGAGTATCCATGCTTTGGAAGTCTGTCTTAAATGAATCCTTAACTTATGTTGTATTTGTGGAGTTAATACGCAGAAAGCACAGAAAAACATTATAATTTATGGCCTGAAATTTGTCCAAATAGCACTAAAATTAGATTTATGTCGGCTACTTGTTTCTGTAGTTGTGGTGTAAATCTTTCCGAAGACTTGTAATCTTTTTATGGTTTGGTTTAAGAGTGAGACTGACTTAGCTCACATGGTTTTGTAAGACATAAATCTGTCATCACTGAGATTAACTATTGTGAGCCTAAAAAATATACCCCGATTTATTTCACGAGCTATTCAATTAGTTTAAGGAGGCATCTGTGCACGTGTGGAGAGAATGTCATAGACTTTTCTGAGGTTTACACCCCTTAATATCTCACAGAAGATCAGATGTAACTTTTCCAGCTGTAGTCCTCATGGTGTTTACATCATCGTGTTGTTAGTGGTTGTTAACTTGTTTGTCTATAAATACAATAACAAACTGTGTGATCAAGCCAAGAGGGAATGCAGCTTTACCTTTATTGTTATCCTCTTCCTCTGCGTCCAACAACCTAGAAGAGTGAAAAGAAGCAAAACACGACGTCATCAGGTAAAATACAAACAGGGAGGTGATGTGGACTTAAATCTACAGCTACAGCTCCTGTGCATTCTCTTTCGGGTCCTGCTTCAAGCTTACAATACATGTCTTCATGCATCAGTATGCAGTTCCCAGCATTGAGATACTGGGTCATATTTGCATGCTCTGTAAAGCAGCCCCGTGGAGGTCATAGAGGCAGGCAAACACATGCAAACCACACCACCCGTAGGCATTTATGTAAAGATACTGCACCTACCACACCCAAAGGTTTTGTGCTATATTTTTATTAGTGAAGAGCAAATATCAAAAACAAACCATCAGCACTTTGAAAGCGTTGTCTAAAAGAACACATTATTCCAAATTAATAAATGTAAGTAGGTCATACACTACTTTCAAAATATGTCAGTGCAAAAAGATCTCTGCAAACAGCATCTTCTTTGGAGAAAACCAAACCAGGTGCCTCATCTGCAGAGCTCGCACCATGAATACAACACACAGCCCCTACCCACTGCTCTCCTCCATCTCATTGGCTGTGATCGGCTGTGTCCTGAAACGCTCACTGGTCTTGCGACTGCCACCTGTCCCGCCGGGGAGGTAACGCCGTGTGCGCCTCCGGCCCCCCTCAGCGCCAGGCTTCACAGCCAGATCCAGAGAGGATGTGGCTCGCCCAGCATCAGGGCAACTAGTATCCACAGAAACAGAGTAGGAGGAGGAAAGGGAAGAAGATGTTTAGATAAATCTTGTCACAGAGGTACACAGGATGATAGTGACAGGGTGGTTCACACACATGCAGGTGACCCTACACTTTCTGGGGCTGCGCTCCGCTCTCTGTCTGCTGCAGAAGGGTACTTCTCAACTGGCCCACCGACACCCGAGTGTGGAGCTGCGGGGCATCAAGTCCAAGAGGGACGAGGTACCCCTCCCCACTCAGCAGAGCAGAGTCCTGGGAACCCTGCCTGGAGGGGGCAGGAACGTGTGGGTGAGGAACGCCCTCAGAAACAAAAAATACAATGCTGAACCTCTGCATCAGGGCTGCCAAAAAATGTGAACCTCCAATCGCAAAAGGTGCAACGTTGTACCCTTTTTTCTTACAGTTAAAGAGGTTGCCAGCCCCATTATGCTAGCTCCAAGAAAAAGCCCCTACACCACATGATGGGAAAAGTGTCAGGCTGGGAGAGTACCAACCAAATGCACGAGAAGAATCAGACTGGCTTTAAAACACCCTGCTGGTACCCACTGATTTAGACCTCTCAGTTTTAATTAGCAACAAAGGCAGCAGAGCAACTGGTGGAGTCAAGGATCTGGAGCTGCTGAAAGCTTACTGGTATGAAGCAGACCAAGTTTAAAAACAGGTAGAAGAGCCTGCTTGGATTAATCAGTGGGTGCAATTACATTTTGCTCAAATGCCAAAAAACAAAGTGTATTAAACGTTTTTAAAAACATTCCCATTCATTATTGTAAACTCATTCCCTTACTATCTTCTTGTATTTAAGTATAGAATTAAGACCTATTTGAACTCTAATTTGACCCACATCTGCTGTGAATAGAAAGCTGTTTAGTAGAGGTAACATAGACAAAAGGAAGTGGACCAGAAGAGAGCAACCCGGAAATATGTATCTTTCTGCACCATTTAGATACAAAAGACATGTAATGCCTCAGATTGTACATATAGACTGTACACTACAGGAATGTACTACATGAACCCGGGACCTGGACCCTTTTCCTCAGTGATCATATTAATACGATGCTATGCTGTAATTAGCAGTTTCTAAAATAGGCCTACTAACAAACTGTTGTGCTATATTAGGACGCCTACAGCATGTTCTGATGTCAAGGTGGAAGAGGTTGAAGCGGGTGTCATTGAGGTTAGGAGGGGGGCACGTTGCTTTATTGGTCTTTGGATAAATTAAACCCAAAACACCTGCTCCCATCCACAATACAGAATTTTAAAGCTGTGTCCTGAAGGACTCACTGTCTTTTTTGTTGTTTTTATGGTTTAAAAATATGTTTACACAGATTTTATGTCCCCATACGAACAAAATGTGTTGTGTTTCCCGCTGTCAGTAAACAGAGATAAATTCACTTATTTTTTTGCGGGATTTTATGAAAAGATTTTACCTAGCTGAAGACTGGTTCAAGCTTACGCACACACAATCAACTCATCCTTCACTCTTGACAGGACTGACCTTCTCAAGTGGTTGGACTCTGCAGGACCTTCTGCCTCTAATCCATTTGTGACACCTCGAGTCCTGCTGCTTACTCTTTCACTGAGGCCATCTGAGTTCAATGTTCCTCTGTGAGCCTGGCTCGCTGGGTTGTGCACTTCTTTCCCATCCCTCCTCACCCATTTAGAAGGTAACTCCTCCATGTTGCCATAGCGTTCAGCCAGTTCTCGCCTCCTCTCAGCTTTATAACGAGCGATCCGCTCTGATCTGGGCTCCAGGACCGGGTTCTCCATGGCGTCCATGGTCCCTCAGAAGGATTCAGCCAATTCTCAAATACTTGCAAAGCATTTAGGAACAGAAAGCAGATGGGCAAAACAGGAGAACCAAACTTTCCTCCAGCAAAATTCTGATTCCATTGGACCTAAAGACCTTCTTTGCTGAGAGTGCACCAATCAAGGGTTGCAGAACAATATGTTCCTTGGTGAGTGAGACATTGCTCCTGAAAGAGGAATAAGCAAACAGAAAACAAGTAAGAAACTTGCTTTTGTCACTCATCACTCATGTGCCCTTCAGCAGTCTGTACGTCTTCCTAGAAAGGTGGTTGATGAGCTGCTGCCTTCATTACATATTAACTTTTTTTTTTTAAGTGCATCCTTCATTTAAGTCTCTTGCTCTTCTTGCTTGAGTCCATGTAAGATGACCTGCACCAGCCTGCAGTGCCATGCGGGAATCTCCCCTTGCATTGAAACTTAACGCCTCAGCTCCACTCTGGGTCCATGCCTCCCTGGCACTGAGTCTGCAGGCTTGCTGGTCTTTTGCATAACCTTGAATTCAAATGTTATCTAACAAGCTGCATAGTCAGTTGGACTGTTGTATCATAATATAGAGCATGATAACTGTCAAAAACAATTGTGGTTTCAAATATGCACAAATACACATATAATGATCTGAATTATGTTCCCAGGCCACATGCACACATACATTAGATGAGCCAAAAAAAGTCCCTGTTGGCTTACATGGTTGCCTGGAAGCGAATAAACAGCACCAACAAAGCCTGAGGCTGCACACCACTTATAAATAGTACTGAAATGACACATTTTGCATTTAAAGACAGCAGCTAACAGTCGGCTGGATTCACAAATGAGTTACTATGTGTGCTTACAAATATGTACAAACATAAATGTGTGTTTGCATGTGTGTCTGTGTGTTTTCCAAAACTGTGGATGTCAGCATTCCTGATGCAGGAAGCACAATGGAGCCAGAACAAAGAGACGTGAGCCACGGACTTAGTGCACCAGATAGATCTGCATCGGGACTGAAAGCTTCTGGTGGCAGTTGAGTTCACAAAGTAAAAGAATTTTAAGTTTATTTTATTATGTCTGCTTCTCCTCTTAGACAGCAGCAGGAAATAAAGTGAACAGAAAAAAGAGATATTGATTAAACACACAGTCTGCACAACTATTTGTCAGGTCTGCCTTTCATCTGTCAGAAACACCCAAACACACACACAATCTGTAACATTAAATAGACTAAAGGCCACATTTGCAGACATTGAGGATTTGTGTTCTGTGTATCTGTGTCAGCGCATCAAAACACGTGTACATGCGCTTTAAACAAAAACAGTCAACCACACCGCACCTCTCTGTGCAGACCCACAGAGAGCAAACAACAAGCAACTCCAGTCTCACTGACGCCACGCTCATTTATGTTTTCGCTGGCAGAACACCGAGTAAGAGTTGAGATTGGCCACACTTCTTTAAAGAGCAAAAGTCATGTGACAAGCTGGAGGATTGTTGATTGGAGAGGAGAATAACATCGAGGCTCAACAGGGATCAAGGGCTTCTAATCCGGCAACGCAAGTTGAGCAGACAAGACCCTAGCTCTGAAATAAAGCCGGCAGATGAGCAGACAGGACCCATTCTCTGCCAACTCAGACAGAGAAAAATCAACAGTAGTACAATTTTCAAATGAAAAAGTCCAGAGAGTTAAAGAAAGTGAAAATCTATAAAATCATCCATATAGTTTAACAGATGCATTCCTCAAAAACTGGAATATCACTTTCAACACACAATTATAGACTTGTTTTGGGGATATTTTTACGGGCTGATTGGTAGTTTTCTACTAGGGTGATTCACCTCAAAGTGCAGACATATTAGATAACAAAAGGACCTCAGTGTCCAGCAGCAGCACAGTAAACCAGATTAAAGCGCTGGCCAAGAATAAGCCTTCAATCAATTACACCTATCTTGGCTGGGCTACCTGTCCTGCACCAAAGCCCCTGGTGGAGCACCATAATTAAAGTACAAGAACATTTCCTTCATTCCTTTCCTTTCCTTCAGGCCTTTCCACTTCCACTGAACATGTGAGTACAAAAGGCATGTGTACCACAATATATAATATGAAAATTGATGCGTTTACATAGCCATGCATTGTCCAGGAGCAAAACAGAGATATGTGAAATTGACATCAGCAGCTGCAGTCAATGTTATGCCTTTGCCTGGCCTCCACATTAAAAGGCATGCAGCAGCAGGGCAGAGAGTAAGAGCTTTCTCTTCATGCAACCACCATAATCCACTTGTCAGCTCCCACAGGGATGTAACACATTAACAGTTGCTCTGACTGCAGTTTTTACATTACACGTATAATATTACATTAATTTGTCCAACAAATATCCACCTAGACTGTCAAACTTCTTATATTTGAAATGCATTGGGCAAATCATAGATGGTGAGAATATTTCAAATAATATCACAATCCCTTTCTTAATGTCCAGACACATAGTCATAAAGAGTAACATACAGGTAATAAGAGTAACAGGTGATTAAAGGGTCTTGCATTTTCATTCTTGCGTATTTCGTGCGTAACTTGTGCGTAAAACATATTCTGGCAGCCGGAAACATTAAACTGCAACCTCGTTACTGACTTTAGATCATTTTTAGATAATAATATGTTGTAAGTTGTTTACACACAAGGCTAACAAAGTAAGTGAACACCATGACTCCTATGTCCAATGCATTTCGTACGTCAAACAGAACAGACCTCAAAAAGAGGAGCGACCGGAATAAGTGACTTGTGATAAAATATTCAGCAGTTGGTCCTAGCTGGCGCCTGCTTAGATGTTCAATTGTAATCTCATAATTAGAGACAATAAATGTAGAATTAACTTACATGCACTGCGCGCCATGTGGAGTAGTACCACTGCCCCTTTCTCACACCGGCGGTCACTACCCACTGGCCCTTCACTGTACGGACTGTCGCTCCAAATGTAGTCACACTCGCAGCTGTGCAGGACTCTCCGTATTAAGGGGGAGAATATAAATAGATGGACAAACCATGGGACGCCCCATCTGCTGTCCAGGAAGCCGCCGAGAGACGCTGCCCTCGTCGAGATGTGGTTGCATGAGCTGTTGTAGCGTTTACAAGAGCTCCAAAGGCCCCAGGTTCACTTCACGTTACTTTTTTTTTTTTTTTTTAGTAGCCTAATGTGCTCAATTGCGAAGTTGTTTGTTAATTTGCACTTATTAACTAAGACATAAACGTGTGCTCTCCGTCACAATCTAGTTTGAATACTAATTATTTTATTATACATTATGCAGACAACTTTTTCCTTGTGCATTGTGTGTTTAATTACATTACCACTAAGTAATTAAGATACAGAAAATATGGGGCCATTATTGTTCCAGCATTGGAGCACTGGTTGGTTTTTGTCTCTCTGGGTATATAATCAAGCAGCCATGTATGGCCTGCTGTGTTATTATAAAATCATTAAATTTGCATGTCATTGATACGCAATAACTTAAGCAAAACATAATATATTTGAATAAATGTATGCTAATAATAAACATTATATTTGGTTGTTTTGCCTGTTAATTATGAATAAAAGAAATTTAAAAAAAATTAAATGCAACATTTTCACATCTCAATTCTTGTATTAAGATATTTTAAATCCTTTGCACATACAGTACCTAAAATCAAAACTCTCTGCACATCCATATCACTAGAAATGAATGGGTAATAGTTTTGTCATTTAGGTGAACTGACTGTTTAAGTAAAATAACAGTTCCTCTGTTGCGTTGGTACGTTTCATACGTATTTGGAACTTAAGTTTGGTTTCTCTACTGGTTCTTCCCTGATTCAGCACTGCCTCCTTCTGTTCAGGCTGTGTAGTTGCAAGGAAAAAAATGTGTTCTGTTTATCCATCAAATCCATCAAAGCTGGCGTCCAGAATGCATTAAAAGGTGAAGTACAGATGTCATTGTCCAAACTCACAGTAACAGAACCAAAGTCTGCAGATCTTCTAATCTAACTGAATAAATCTTTAATGTTATTGATGGAGTTGCATTCAAATGCAGAGACAGGTTTGAGAGACAGTTATTTATAGAAATGCTTGAATAAACAGTGACACTGGTGTAGAAAAATATCTTGTACAATTTGTCAATACAAACATAAATACAGGTGTAATCTATTCCAGTGATTGCACCATAAATATCTTCACAAAAACAACAAAAATTACTTAATTTCCTCCAGTGTATCCAAGTCTAGAACAAAACAGCTTCGGTGAAGCAACATAAACAAACTCATCAACTGCGTTCATAATAGTGCTGTCAGTAGTTTGCAAAACAGAAATCCCTCTTTTTAATAGTAACAAACAATAACAAAGTAGCACTACATTTTGGGGAAATACACAACGTACAAGTACTCAAATCAAAGAACATACTTTTACTCTGATCATATGAAGCCAGGTCAAATTTAGACAACAAAGAAAAATAAAACTATTCAACTGTCAAAACTGTTTTGTTTTACCAAATAAACCTTCTGGATTTTCATCACAATCTATGTTACTGTGTCCAGTAACTTGTGACATTATAGACATGTTCCATAAGTCAGGCATAATGTGTTTCTTACTTACTTAAGGTGTAAAGTGGTTCCCCTTAAACCTGACCATAGTTTTTCATGATGCTGGTGAACTGTTTTTTAAAGCTGTCAAGGCCAATAAACCATGCACGTTCTGACCAATGTGTACAGTGGATTTTATGGCACAAGGCTAGTTAGTGTAGCTGACAGCAGAATGAGGAGGAAGCAGAAGGAGCTGAGGTTTTTCTTCTCCCAATCAGCATTCGACTGAAATCTTCAGTGCTTCATCAAGAAAGGATGAGCCAGGGCTTTGGCAGCCGAGATACGGCTGCTCGGTCTGAATGCCAAACATTGCTGCGGGTAAGGAGATGTCACACCTTACAAAAAACTCAGAGAAAAGTACTGTTTAGAAACTGCCACTACTATGATCCTTTTTGTTTAAATCACATTTATTTGAGTTAATTATCTACTGCATTAACTCTCAAATGCACACGTCTTAAACCTACTTACTCAGTCTGACCAGCAGCCAAAAACATCTATTTATAATGCTATGAAATGCTGTAACTAGCAAATGTTCGCTATCTTTAACCATGCTAGCTGCATAGCTCCAAGGATAGCAATGCTGGTCAGTCCACACTGAAATATCTCAGCAACTATTGGACGGATTGACGTGATATGTTGTACAGACATCCATGGTTCACAGAGGACGCTTCTTACTGATTGGTGATGCCCTGACTTTACTTCTAGTGCCACCATGAGGTTCACAGTTGTGGTTTTTAGTGAAGTATCAACTTGAATAATATGAGCTACTTTAATTTATGACCAAATACCTACAAAACTAATGACATTCCCATCAGCCTCAGCTGTCTTTTTTGTCCTAATAATTAGTAAAAGTTAGCATGCTAACAAGCTACATTAAGATAGAGAACATCGTAAAAAAATTGTTACTAAACATCAGCACGTTAGCATCCTGATGTTAGCATTTAGCTCAAAGCACCCCTGTGCCTATCCCTAATTTGTGCCTCTCATGTAATACAATACATTCGGATCACAGAGGTAACCACTGTTTTTTTCTAAAAGATAATTAACCTGCGATGTTCAATGGACAGATGAATTTTTTTCATCCAGATAGTTACAAGAATGTTTGAGGATTCAAAAAATACCTTCAGAAACAACATGATGGGTTTTTAAAAGACCTTCTGGGTTTTTAGAACATAACCAGTTATCAGTCATCCCAAATGTATGCTAATACTGTACATGAGAGGCACAACTGAGGCTACGCTGTGCTTTACTAAAGCCCCATAGATGGTTTTAGATTCCTAGTCCTGTTACTTGATTTAAAAAAATATATATATCTATATTGAAAACCTTTATCAATTACACCACTAATTCAAACCAGAAATCAGCATTACTCTGGATTTTTTGTCTATGTCGTCCGTGTATCTACTTGGTCAAAAGTGCATTTATTGTCCACCTCTTTCTGTGGTGTGAAATGTGAAGCATAGCAACATGTCATTAAAACAAAACACACAGATCTGCTCACAGATAGTAGGTCGTTCTCGTCTGGGCCCAGGTTGTGCAGCAGATTGGTGCAGGAGCCTTTGATTGGTCCCCAGCTGACTGAGTATGAGATCGGGCTGTCCTTGGGCCAGTCCTCCTCACTGGGCAAACCAATTACCCTGACAAACACACAGTAAAGCAAAGAACTGAGCAGCAGCAACAGGCTGCTCATAACTACTGCAGCCACCACTTTGCCATGTGGGGTCATTTGTCCTAACTTTTTATGTTTTTTTATTTACTTAGTTATAATTATTTACAGGAAAAGGCAAATGTAAGCAACTTCTTAATTCAGCAAGACAAAGGGCTTTAAAGCACTTGTACAGAATAATTACTGCCTGATTTTAAAGTTTGGGCAATTTGGAGCAAACAGGCAGATCACCATGGAGCCAATGTTTAATACAGATATAAAGAAAGAAAGAAATACCTACTCAAAGATTTTTTGCAGCTGCTGTACCTCTGTGTATCCCTGAAACAGTGGTCTGTGGGAGAACACGTCATGTGGTAAATTTATTCTATTTTGAGACCTGTAGAGAACATTTTACCTCTTACATTACACTCTCTAGGGCCACATATCTCTTCCAGCCAGACACAGACTCAGCTCTCCTTACCTCAAGAGGAAGAGCTCAGCGAAGATGCAGCCAATGCTCCACATGTCCACTGAGGACATGTAGACAGAGTTCAGCAGAACCTCAGGAGCTCTGTACCACAGCGTTACTACCTGAACAGAGAGAGAAGGACATATGAAGAGAGAATTTAAGAAATAAAGACACATAGTCAGGGGTGGGAGAAGTGACAAAAGAACAGTTTTCACCTCAGGCCAAGGAATAGACACAATACAGTGTTGTTTCCAGAAACAAACGGCTCCAAATGTCTTAGAGGAGAATTACTGCAGTTACAGTTAACAGTGTTGCAAACTTGTTCTTTTTCAGTCTTTATTCTTTACTTATCAGTTAATGAGATATGCCAGAAGGAGCGTACGCGTTGCCTCACTTACACCTGGAGTGAGCGCGATATTGAAGGTGTAGATGCGAGCCAGTCCAAAGTCCGCAATCTTGACTTCTCCACGGCTGCTGACCAGGATGTTTTCTGGTTTTAGGTCACGGTGCAGCACTATGTTTGTGTGTAGGAAGTCCAATCCTCGCAGCAGCTGCTGCATCAAATCCTGTACAGACAGAAAGCAGCATGGCAGAACTTACTATTCTGTCTCAAGAGCTGTGTTCCTAATTCACAGACCTGTACCCTTGGAAGTTTGCATTCTATGACTGAATACGTTATGACTGTTTGAGAAGGTAAAAACAGGTGGATGTCTTAAGTAATTTGTAAATACAACACATAAACTGGACCAATGTAAACGCTGCAACAAGGTGTAATAATACATCCAGGCACTTTCTTCTTGTGTCTAAAATAATACATAAAACTGGTAATAAGGAACACTCAAACACACCACTAGCTTTGGTCAGGGGGTAACACACTACAGGAGCTGACAACGACAGCTGATCTCCAAACCACGTTTTGTCAAGAAAACACAGGTGAGATGTGAAACGGGAAATGACGTGACACTACACACGAAACAGCTGTTGTCGACTGGCGGCCGCCGAGCTTGCCAACTGGCAAATCGGGCTTAAAATCGTGCAGTGTGAACTAGTTTTAAGAGTGAGTGATCTGTAAGGTCTGACCAGAGAACAAGTGTGCTGGGGGTGTGTCAAGGTGTCCACATAAAAGAAAAATTAAATAATAAGTGTCTTGCTGTACGAATGTCAAGAAGAGCACAATGTGGGAAAATTAAAACCGTATATTTCTAGGGATACATGCATTATTTTAAATAGATATATAGGAGTGTTTGTTTCTGTGCTTTCTCAAGACATAAATACATGCGGCTATACTTTGATAAGTCGGGTGATTCAGTCAATTCACACCTTAATACAGTCACGGCTCAGTCCAGAAGCGGGAACCTTGGAGAGGTAGGTGGACAGATCCTGGTCAATGTATTCCAGCACCAGAGTTAGGTCCAGGCTCCGGCCCACTGGTATAGCAGATGCATCCAACAGCCTGGATATTTAAATGAGCATGAGATTAGAAAACACACGCATGCACTAACAAGATTATTACATAAACATGCCAAAACATACATAGAAAGAGAGATGTCCAAAAATAACAGGCCCAGGGGCAACACCAACTCACAATCCCACTCCTCCCAAAGCACACACTGTAAAATGATGGAATAACTGCTGGATTTTGAACAATTTTGGGGTACTACTGCTGGACTGGACAGGGTTTTAAAAAGAAGAAGAAGAAAACAAACAAAAATACATGATCAACTTACACATTCATGTGATATTTAAATGTACCACATTAAAATATCACATGAAATTGTTCAATGTTGCTCCGCCTCGATAAGGCTTATAACAGCAAAATGCTGCTTACATGTTAAAACATCAGTAATTATAACCCAATGATATAACACATTTTACACTCTGATACTTTTAAGTGTAAGTACGTAAACTTAACTCTTTAAACGCAGGACTTGTACTTATATTTTAATGAAGGATCGAATACTTCTTCCATTTTATGAATATATAAACTTTCAGGCAAAAATGATCTTCTGCACGATGCACTCTTGCCACCGAGAGTTTGTTATCAATAGTATCAGAAAAGCGTTATCCTCTTCTATTTTGCTAATCAAGTGTGGAGATTTTTAACAGAAAGCAACAACAATGCTGTTCGATTTTAGGTGTTGCCAGTTGATTTCATTTGCTAGTTTATGCGGTACATCTAGCTAAAACTAATGCAACAATAAATCCTTTCTTCCCAAAGTTATAATGTTCGGCTTTTGTTTTAACTGTGTTGATTCAACTTTGTGATAATTTTTGGAGGCTACAGTTTGTGGTGACAGATGTTTCTATTATTTTACAGGACAAAATGTGGCATTACGTGCAATATCGCAGACATAATCATTGAACATTTTGAATTAACCAAATACACTTATCAGAGATTTGATATTGCACATACATATCATTATGCAACTCACTGAGAAGCAACCTGATATATGAGCAACGTATGATCCTTACCGTTAACCTTGTTTATACACTGAACAAAATTATAAACGCAGCACTTTTGTATTTGCCCCCATTCATGAGCTGAACTCAAAGATCTGACTTTCTCCATGTACACAAAAGGCCTATTTATCTCAAATATTGTTCACAAATCTGTCAAAATCTGTGTTAGTGCGCACTTCTCCTTTGCCGAGATAATCCATCCACCTCACAAGTGTGGCATATCAAGATGCTGATCAGACAGCATGGGTAAATATGCTGGATGTGGAGGTCCTGGGCTGGTGTGGTTACACGTGGTCTGCGGTTGTGAGGCCGGTTGGATGTACTGCAAAATCCTCTGAAACACCTTTGGAGATGGCTTATGGTAGAGAAATGAACATTCAATTCACAGGCAACAGCTGTGGTGGACATTCCTGCAGTCAGGATGCCAATTGCACGCTCCCTCGAAACTTGCGACATCTGTGGCACTGTGCTGTGTGATGGAACTGCACATCTTTGAGTTCAACTGATTAATGAGAGCAAAAAAAGCGTGTTTATAATTTTGTTCCGTGTATTTTTGGCATTGTGTACATTAATTTTGTACATTTGCACTATTTCCTACTTTCTACTGTAACTGCTGCACAACAATTTCCACCCTGTTTATATGAATGAGGGTAGGCTAAATAACAGAAACACCTCTCTGTATAATGCAAAACATTTTAACATGAACATTTTAACCTTCATGATTTATTGCAAGACTGTTGTATTAGACTGCATTAGTTTTAGCTAAGTGTACCTAATAAATTGGCAGCTGAGTGTGTGTAAAAGAAACTTACTTGACTATGTTTGGATGGTTGAAGTACTTCATTTTGCGCAGCAGCGCCACCTCGCGGAGCATGAAAGCAGGGATCCCGGTCTCTGAAGTGTCTCCGTGGATGTTGAATTTCTTCACCGCCAGGATGCGCTGTTTCTCCCCCACCTCTCGGGCTTTATACACTTTCCCGTAGGACCCCTCTCCTACTTCTGCCAGGAGCTCGTAGCACAGAGGTTTAGTGCAGACGTCCATGGTTTTCCAAATAAATTCAGGATAACTTAACCTGAACTTTCCAGATAAATGTCTATTTTAGGATGACAACAACTAAATATATCGCATTTCCTCCCAACATCACTCAATTTAAGTTTAAAGAGTAAGCTAAGTTAGCTAACGAAGCTCTGAGTAAACTGAGGTTGGCTAGCAGATATCCCCTGCCACAGACATCACCTGTAATAACAATGATTTGAAGAAAGTAACGTTAATAAGTGTGGCATTTCAGTCTCTGTTTTTTTCTTTACCTCAAACTGCTGAGCACGCTTTCTCCTCCATGCCGCCGCCTGCAGGAAAACGTCGTTGCATAACTGCAGCCAATATCAGAAAATTATGAGAATCACACCCCTTTTATTCACCAACTAATCACAAAGCTCAAATTTTACGTTATGGGAAGCCCACTTCTTGTTCACGTGCTCCCTGTCAATGTCACTATCAACACATGCTGCGTTCAGGTGCAGGCAATTTACTGAGGTCAGTGCATATATAAACAACATAAATAAACAAATAAAGATGAAAGTCGCCTTTGGGAAGAAGGCTGGTTTCCAGACAATTACAATTTCAACAAAATAATAAGCAAAAAGTGAGTTTACAAATTTAGAGTTTACCTATATTTAATAATTACCTGCAAACTGGATGTTTAATTATACAGATAGGATATTTTAGAAATAAACAAACAGATGGGTGACAAATTAAAGGAAAAAACAAAGTGTCTTAGTATGGAGTCAGGCCACCACAAGCCTCCAGAACACCTTCAGTGCTCCTCGCCAAGTATGTGGAACTCTATTGGAAGGATTAACACTATTTATATTATTCCCTCATTTATACACACACACACACACACACACACACACACACACACACCTTTATTTAAATCAGGTCATCTCATTAAGATCAAGATCTCTTGTGCCTGAGTGCAGCAGACATAAAGAAAAAGTTATATAGCATCAGAGACAGTCACAGACATCACTAAATAAATTGGAAGATAGATAATTATGTCTTGTGGAGAACATTGTCTTACACTTTACCGTAACATTTTCAAACTCAAACCATTGAGTGATTCCTGGTGCATGGAAGCATCTGCATTTGATCTCTTATCCAGCTATTTGCCCCCTGTTTGTATATTATTATTGCTCATAGTGACAACATGATTGAGTTGCAGAAATGTGACATTCAGTTGGTGCAAAAAAAATAAAGGTGGCAAAATATCAACTAATATCAGACCAAATATTGTGAAAATATTTCCACACACACCAAAGACCAAACTGCAACCAATTCATTGTTTGTACCCTTTAATGTCAAAAACCTGTTAAAAACTTCATACCAAACACACCACAGGCACAGAGTGAAAGCTCAGACATTACTCACAATTTTCAAAACTGCAATTTTCAAACACTGAAACACGAATCAGTGTAGTTATGCATTTTTCTAAGTACAGACACAACAAAATGAATTATTCCACTTCGTGTTAGCAATAATAACTCATTTGTTAGACGAAATCTGTCAATTTATCCGGTTCTTTTAGCCTCCTTATACAGGGCTTTTGTCCCTTCTATGTAATTTCAAGTACTGATTAATTACAGTATATAATGGTACCTCAACAGAATGTTGTCAGGCAGTTACTCCCCTTTCAATTTGGTATTAAGAATTTTTGTTTTCTTTGCCAAGGCGATGGCATCCAGATGAAGGTTGCGGTTGAGGATGACCGAGCCGCAGGTGAGAGCTCCAGCAAGAGCGCCGGCAAAGCCACACAGAAACACATCCTGACCTGCAACACAAAAACCCGAAATATATTGAACTCAGTTCATACTGTAAAGTCATGTTGAGAATTAAAGGATGCTATTGCTGCACAGTCGGACTCACCGGTCAGATAGAGGTTCTTCAGTGGAGTCTGAGGTCTCACCATAGCGTTGAGTTCAGGGCTGAATCGGGCGATGCCATGATCCGCTCCATAGATTTCACCTTTAGGGGCTCCGATATAGTAAGTGTTTGTGATGGGGGTTCCGGCATCAATGTACTCAATCTACACAAACAAAAAAATAAACAGGATGTGAATATTATACATGTTCTTACTAAACCAAGAAAGCCAGCCTGGTTTCAGACTTCTGAATCACCATCCTAATTTGTTCAGCGATTAAAATGTGAATGGAGAGAAACAAAACAGCAATTCAGTCTAATTATGAGGTTAGAGGAAAGTTTTGAGATTAATGCTCTCATTTTTTAGAGCTTCTTGGCTAAGATAGGCAACAATAACGTTGAGTTATAAACACCATAAATCCAATAACACAAAATAATGTTATAAAATTAGAAATGTGATCACAAAATCATGAATGACTAAGACATAAAAGACTGCATCCTATAAAATGTCCCAAATGTCATACAATCAAACAATTACTTCAAGGTTCAGCATAGACGATCAAGATTTAGGGGCTCTATTTGCAGAATATTTACATACGTTTTCATACGTGTATAATCATAGCGTTTTCATTACCTTATAAAGTCCCCTTTGACATGGTCCACCCTGTTGCAACATCATGTATAATAGCCCAGAATGGACAAACCAAACACTGGCTCTAGACAGGGCCTTTTGCATGAGTTTCTCAGCCACCATAGTTTCTTCTACATGCTTGGAACAGGAGGGTGAGGCCAGTGCTAATTCAAATAGTTGCAATGTGCAATTTTACTGCTAGATGCCACTAAATCCTACACACTGCTCCCTTAATGAGACTAACATCAAGAATTAATCAAGAAGAAGCCACAGGGAGAGTACAGAGCTTTCACATCACTGATTTAAATACACACAGAAAGAGAGAGAGAGACCACATTTTGCAGCTTTACATTTGGTGCAGGAGTTGTAAGGCAGTTGGAGCAGCATAAAGAAAAGCTCTTCTACCTAATCTTGGGAACAAAGGACATACATGTTCCCACATTTCTTGGTGGATATATATAAAAAGATGATTGCAACCCAAGAAATGTCGCCCAACAGAAGATTAAAGAGGACCTGCCTACCCAAGCCTACAAAGAACAGTGATGTGTGAGAGCCTTTTTGTTTGTGATAAGTCTCAGTGCTCCATCCATACAGCAGCCAAAGCTAATGAGCTGTGAGAAGGCAACAGAAAGATTCAGAAATGTTACCTTGTCTGCGGTTATCTTAGGGAAGACATCCAAGACCACCTCCAAAATAGAATCAATGAATGCCTGCTTCAGCTCTTTGTAGTCCGACCCTCTGTTTGACACTTTGCCATCTTTCCACTCCTCAAACCACTCGTACTTAGCAAAACTGACCAGACTCAAGGTGGATTTCCCTGACGTGCAGAAAGAAGAGGAGAATATAAAACAAACAGGGTGACATGCTGTTCTGGAGTCAGTTCATTGCTACAACTCATGAAGTTGCACTGTAAAAAATGACAAGCTGCCTCACAGCACAGTTTCTGTACCTGGTGACCTTTCCTCCCAAGTTGGATCTTTAGCAGAGGGAGAGGCGACGAACAGGAGAGGTATTTTTTTAGCAGACTCTTCCCTCTTTCCATTCATGTAGTTCTCCACCCTGTAAAAGAAAACCGATCATTCTGGCGAGTTTGCACGGATAGTTGGGTATACATTTCTAAACAAACTTAATAAACTTATCAGGAATACAATCCTAAAAGCATGTTCTAACTGTTTCACAATGCATGTTTCAGTTATACTAAGTTATATATATGAGATCCTCCACCTGAATTCACTTGGTCAGTCCACACAATAAAAATGCAGCTATTTTATACATTGAATTACATTGGAGCGACTTTAAGTGCCATTTAATTTTTCATAGACAAGCAGTGTATACTTGCAACATGAAATGCCACATTTTGTGATTTGCATGTTGAGTTTGACCAGAACTTCAAAAACACGTTCATAAGTATCATTTACACTGGGGATGCTGGTGACATGTCCCCAATACTTTATGAAATGGCTGATTTTGTCCCCATCACTTTTTAAAAGTATAATTTGTTAAAGATGTTCTGAAAAGTAGTTTGCACCTAGAAATGTTAACTAAGAAATGAAAGGTCTATTAGCACAATAAGAAAACATGAAAATGAGAAACAAATGTGCATTGTCCAAAAAAAAAAAGGTAACTTTTAACAAAAACAAAAACTAACAAAAACAAAAAAACCCTACTGATTCTAAAAATGACCCTAAAACGTGCATGTGCCGATCAGTAATTTTAACAAATTCTGGACACAGTTTCTTATCGTCCAACTTTTCCGTTCTCTCCCTGTGAACATGAAAATCAGCTGCTAAGTTGTGTTTATGACATCTTGTTTCTCTAACGTTAAAAAAGTATGCACTTAATATCAATTTAAGGTTGATTTATTATCTTTGGTTAACATCGTTAAAGTTATTCCTAAAGTTGTTTCTATTTTGTCGTATTTTAGCGCGGTGATATTGGATAGGCTCGCTGTGCTGACTTACATGCACTTTATACAGTAGATGTGGTTTAGGCGTTGTTCGATTGATCGATATTTCCAAAAATCACATATGCTGAAGACCGTCATCTGAGCCCTTATGTCCCCACCACTTTTCAACACAAAGTGCCCTATGACACCTTACAACCTAAAGGTTTTTTTTAGTAGCTTGGTCTATGTGTGGCCGTAACTCAAATGTGAATTGTAACAAGAATCAGACACATGACGAGAGACAACGTACAGTTCATCAAAATTGTTCTCGGGAAAGATCCAGTAGTTGTCTGCCTTCAGGCCCAGCTCCTCCTTTGTTCCATTCAGACCCACAAAAATACTCAGGCCACCTTCACCGTGCTTCATCATGCTCAGCTGCTTCTGGATAGCTGCATGACAGGAGTGTCACATCACACAGTTCAACTTAACTGACAGCTATAAGTGGGAGTCAGTGAATTAAAAATATGTAACACGTACATCCCTCTAGAGCTGAAATTATTAGTCAATAGGTGTGTTTCCATCCACATGTTTTTTGTGCCTCCCCCTTAGTGCCACCCCAGTTTGAGAGCCACTTCAGTAGAGTGTAGAGTGGACATGTGAATTCATTTCATTTTCTTTTGCAGATGTTCTGAAAATTTGGTTCTAATTTGCGCTACATTTGTATAGAAACCAAGCTAGTGAACCACTCCACAAAAGGATTAATCAACAACAATTGATAATTGTTTAACTCATCTGTTAAGGAAAAATGTTACAGTATCCAGCTACAGCATC